TTTTTTTTTTTTTTTTTTTTGGAGAGACAGAAATTTAAGCTTGAAAATCACAATCTCGCCATGTGAAGTGAGCTCAACAAAATCTGAGACATCTGTGTAGCTTGCGACAATGTGAATATCAAGCTTATCAGATTCATGGTCAATACGAAATTATAGGCGGACAGAAATAAAGGAGCGAAAATAAGGAAACAGACATCCTAGCGCCGTGTTGTCAGTAAGACGAGACCATACAGTACAGGTAGGTGGTTAGGGCGTCAAAATCAAGTAACCCAAGTGCTTGTCTACGCCAGCATCAGATGACTAGATTATTTCGTCTCTTATGCTTACAGCCAGCGGCACGTATCCCATCGCTGATTTCCAACGTCCATGTGTTCCACCAATACCAGTAGAGGGTTGTCATCCAAGAGGTCTGTTGACGCCTCGTGTCATGTGTTGGAACTTTGTATGGTACACGTATCGTAATGCAAACAAAGGGCGATGAAGATCAATTCCCCAGCTCTTATCCCTTCTGTTTCTCAACAGCCTCAGCGAAGACTTTCGGTGAGTTTGGGATTCGCAATCTGACTTGGGTATTTTGAGCTTGGGGGGCCCCCCAGTAAGGGACTTGGGCGCCACCGTTCCAGGTTACAACATAAGAGACTCTAATTATACAAAGCCAAAAATGCTTGGCGAAAGGGAATTTGGGGGCTTGCGGCAAAGCATCTTGACTGGAATCTTAAGTTAGACCAGAGTCAGCCAGAGTCACAGTCAGCCACGGCACCCAAAAATGGTCACGGAGTAGCGAATCCGAACATGTTGAAACTCGGTTTCCAGGTTTTCCTCAAAGGGGAGAATCCGATGGGTGCACTGTAAAGAGGATCTAACAATCATGCAGCATCTCCCGGACATGAAATACCGCCAGATGTCGTAGATTTGAGTAACATGGACGCGCAAGGCTATGACATGACACCTATCCATACCGCTGTGTGTACTGTAGATCAGAGGAAATGTCTAATGTAATCGGAGGCCCAGCTGAACGGTACATCTGGCCATGGATCCTCGGGACCCGGGACATTACATGTGCCATGAACCAGAACCAGCCCATATTGTTGAGAATGAGACTATACTCATGGAACGTGCATTCATATGCCATGGATGCCACCTAAAAGGGGCATGATACATACAGAGAACAAAGCAGAGCAGAGGAGTAGGTTCAGATCTGCAGTACCTGAATGTAGGCACATGCACACTGTACTGTACAATGATGTAAGTATTGTAAGTCGGTGCAAACCAGGCCGAGAGCGAGGCAGCGCCACCTGAAGGGCGACGAGTCTCACGAGCCATTGGTGATTGACCTTGGGGCCAGCAGACACACACCTGGCTGTTGCAGTACCTTATCTGACCTTTCACCTTGCCGACAATACAGTTTGATACATGTAGTTAGTTATGCATTTCTGCAGCCTTCAAGGTTTCTGCGGCGGCCATTTACTCGGGGCTCCTGGGTTGTCTTTGTTAATAAACCGCCCGGACCCAGCGAACTGGGCTCACATCACCTCACATCGTCTTGTTACTCTCCTGATATCCAACGAACCCCCCGTCAGTTGTAGGAGCAACAATATATCGAGGCTGCTGAACAAGCCAAGTATAATTGTCGCGCGCTCTCACTTTTCGATCTGCAGAAAGACCCTCTGATGGGCACAGCCTAACTCAGAGTGACGTATCGCAAGCAGACCATAACCAGCGAAAAGACAGGAAAAAGAGGACTGCGCCAAGATTTTGTGAAGCAACAAGCCTCAAGCTTAGATCAGAAGACGAGGCAGACAACGCAACGCAACATCACAAAAGACACGACAAGACAAGACGAAAGGAAGCATTGCAGTACAATAGGGCAAGGGCTCGGACAGATCCTCTCACTCTCAACAGATCCCCAAAAAAGGGAAAGATCTTTATCAACCCAGACCTCAACTTCATTTCAACTTTTTACCAGGGCCTGGCCCAGGCTCTCGTCTCCTCTCTTTCTAACTTTTTTTTCTCACTTACAAAAACATCGTCCAGCCCAGTCTAGTCATTTTCCCGCGGGAAGCTAAGAACTGTGTGCTGTGCAAACTGCAGAGTGCAGACAAACCTACGCCACTACCGCAGCTTTTTAGGGTCCTGCATCTGCTCCACTCTGCCACCTACAGCGCTCGAGTACCAGTACTGTACCAGTGCTAGACGCGGCACGGCACCACCGAAGAGTCAAGATCCTGCACTGGGATTGGTCTCTTCACTTTCAGTCGCTGGACGGACTCAACTCACCTCTGGTCAGGACAAGACCTGGACGAACCCTGACAGAATAACGCCACCCATCCTTGCCTCAACTTTCTGAAAGAGACCCCCTCCACTCCCTAAATCCAAAAGAAACGCACGCCAAAGCCCACTGAGGACCCCCCTGTGGACCATTGCGCCGGGCCTTGTCAGGGCGACTTTCACTCTTGATTGGTTGTAAGAGTCAGAAAGTCCGATTTGGAGGAGCTTAGTCTCCCTCTTACTCGATGCCTTCAGCGATTGCGGTGACCCCTGCTGGTACGTACCGAGATTCCTTGTCCTTGTTTCTTACAGCTCATGTCCATCCTTCCAACATTTACTACGTATTTGCCCTACCTTCCTTCTGTTTCTGTCCTGTTGCGCTTTATATTAACCATTCAACTCCTTCCTTGTTGCTATTCTTTCTCCTCATCCAAAGTTTCAATCTCCAAAAGATCTTCAATATTTATTGCTACCTTGGCAAAGACAGGCTGCTTCAACCAGAGCCAAACTTTGCTTCAAACCTTTTCGTCTTATACTCTGAGACAGACCCCTTGACCTACCTACTTACTATATATACTCTGCAATCGCATCTACAACCATACTCATACGAACAAAGACGCAGGTCGCCGACAATCAAAATCCACAGGACTTCTCAAATCTGTGATGCAGAACCTTCTCGGAGCCTCACCACCTTCTCCAGCGCTGCCAGCGCAAAACTCTGCAGCGCCAACATCCTCAGATTCTCTCCCACCTACATCGAATCCTAGCTCGAATCCGACACCAAACCCAACTTCAGACCCTTCTTCGCATCCGAACAATCCGAATAACTACGCAGTCCTTCCTCCTCCCCCAGACGGTGACCATGATCATCTTCCTCCACCAGCAAACGCACCTTCTTCTTTGGCTGTGGCCCTCCGATCGCTAAACGATTTGACCGAAACCCCCACCTATGCGCGAAGTGTCACCTCGACAGCGCCGAGCTCGCCACGCATGTAAGTGCCGTCATTTTTTTTTCACCACTCCTCCACAGTTGGGGTCGCGAACCACAAATCCGCCAAGTTCGGCCCTTTTAGCACTGGCGATCCCGCTTTTTGAGAATCCTCAATTGACGTATGGAAATAGTCCCCCATTGCGACAAAATTCGGGTGGTCATACACCAAGAGTACGACCTCATGCCACCACGCTGAACATCCCGGGCATGACCCGGTCAAGAGTCTCGCCCGATGGAAAGATTTCCTCTCGCGATGTCGCTGCTAAGCTTGTTATTGTCATGGTTGGTTTGCCAGCTCGTGGAAAGTCGTACATTACCAAGAAACTTCAAAGATATCTTTCTTGGCAACAACATGATTCCCGCATTTTCAATGTTGGAAACAGAAGACGTACAGCCGCGGGGCGCAGAGTTTCTGTTCATCCAAAGCTGCAGGCTGAGCAAGAGCACATGGACCCCCCGGTTCATGCTGCCTCTATTCTACTAAATGGCAACCCTGCACCTTTCGGTCCCGATTCATCAGAGCCGGAGAAGCTTGATCTTAACGATGCCTCTCAGTCTGAGGTGGACCAGTCCGCCACATTCTTCGATCCCAAGAACCAGACTGCCGCTGCCATGCGAGAGCAGTGTGCTATGGACACTTTAGACGAACTGCTGGATTATTTACTTGACCAGGGAGGCGCTGTCGGCATTCTTGACGCCACGAACAGCACCATCGAGCGCAGAATGAACATTGCTAAGCGTGTTAAGCAAAGAGAGCCGAAGCTGGGTATTCTCTTCATCGAGAGTATCTGCCAAGATCCCAACCTTCTCGAAGCAAACATGCGCCTGAAGCTTTCCGGTCCCGATTATCGTGACAAGGATCCCCAAAAGTCATTGGAAGACTTCAAGAAGCGAGTCGCCGCCTACGAGAGCGCATACGTTCCTCTGGGCGAGTATGAAGAGAAGAATGACTTGCAATACATTCAGGTTTGTAGAACCCTACCAATACTGACAAGACTGAAGCTAATCAATCTATAGATGGTTGATGTAGGACGAAAGCTTATCCAGCATCGACTCAAGGGCTTCCTTAGCAGCGGAATCAGCACTTACCTTGCCAGCTTCAATCTCGCTCCTCGACAGATTTGGATTACTCGACATGGCCAGAGTGTAGATAACGAGCTTGGAAGACTGGGCGGAAACTCGGCTCTCACCGAGCGCGGTCATTGCTACGGCCAAGCTCTCCACAACTTCATCACTTACCAACGCAAGCAATGGTGTATGGAACAGAAGAGCAAGAAGGCCCAGGCCTCTTTCCCTCCTATTCCAGGCGACAATACACCTCCTTATCCTGAGCTGAACCGAGAAATCGAGGACAAGAACTTCTGTGTCTGGACTTCGATGCTCGACCGCAGCGTGGAGACAGCTGAGTACTTTGAGGCCGACGACGACTATGATGTCAAGAATTGGGAAATGCTCAACGAAATGAACTCAGGCCAGTTTGAGGGTTGGACTTATGCTGAGATCGCAAAGAAGGAGCCTGAGGAATTTGCAAAGCGAGCGCATGACAAGCTCAACTACATCTATCCTGGAGTCGGTGGCGAAGGCTACCTCCAGGTTGTTAGCCGTCTGCGAGATATGGTTCGAGAAGTTGAGCGTATCGAGGATCATCTTCTCATCATTGGTCATCGCTCTGTTTGTCGAGTCTTGATGGCTTATTTCATGGATTTGTCCCTGGCGGACATCACAGACATGGATATTCCTCTGGGCATGCTCTACTCCATTGAGCCCAAGCCTTATGGCCTTGATTTCCATGCCTACCGATACAACGAGGATCAGGGTTGGTTCGAGGAGTTGCCCAACTATAAACCCCAAAAGACTGCTCGCAACAGTATCATCAAGCCTCAACATTAAGCATATTTACCAACTTGACGGCAACAATCAACATGTACAACATCTTACCCGGAGTTTGACGGCTCTGCATTTCTTAAGGATTTTATTTCCCACGGCGTTTAGCGGGGCATGGCATTTCACGATTCACGCGCATGAACAGGATTATTCGCATTATCAGTGGAACGAAAGGGCATACATAAGACGAAAGAAAGGACGGCGTTCTCCGTTCGATTGAAAATCGATATGCCTTCGATGGCGCGACACAATTCTTCGTATCGATTCTTTGCTTTTGGCGTTTCTCGGCGATCTTATTTTGATGATTGAGACTATGGATTCGGGCGGTTCTGGTGTCAGAGTACTGTACCTGCTTTCATTAGGAAGGCGGTGCCCTCGATCAGTGGTGTTATGGGCTGTGTTTTATCGCTATTGTCTCTTTACCACAGGCGATGAAGGAACGATCAGAGGCTGTTAGATGTGATTGGTGTGTGATGGATAGATACACAGCACGACGCTCACTCCAGCGAAAGGATGCCACTCATGAGTAGTTATAGTTGGAGTGCCTATTCGAAGAGGATCTCAACTGTCTAGATTCATAGTTATAAGAAATTCACATTTCTATATAATATTCACTTAGCGTTCTTATATCTGATACAGCGAAATAATATCACTATCGCCGTGCTGGTAAACCAATGAATAGAGATGGTACATAATGAATCATAATGGTATATTCAAGATAGGTGGTCATCTCAAGTACCTATTAATAGACGGACAACCTGAACGCCATGCAATGCCCTCCCATGCCTTTTGTATGTAACCTCAAGGAACTTTTCTCTTGCAACTGTGAAAAAACGTCGCATACCCTTACTTCTCTGTTGCCAAAATCATCTTCTCTCTCTCACCCCGACGCCTCTCAAACTGCTTCTTAGTATGGCGACGCTCATTCTCCTCACGACGCTTGATGCTCTTAAGCTCCTCAGCCTTGATCTCGCCAGCCTTCTTAAGCACTTTGGGCACATGACGGTGACGGTGAATGCGACGGACTTCAGGCATGTGCTGGTATCGCTCGATAAGAGCATTGTTGTACTCGAGAGCCTGGCGGTGGCGAGCAGACTTGACACCCTCGCGACGTGAGGCGTTAGAGCGCCATAGTCGCACGTTGCCGTCGTCGGAGCCTGAGAGAACGTAGCGGGCATCAGGGGTCCAGCGGGCAGCTGTGACACGCTGCATTCGCTTGGTATGGTAGACATCTCGAGAGTGACCGCGGTCGCGGTTCCAGAGACGGACGGTTCGGTCCCAAGAGGCAGATACAAGCTCTTCGCCAGTGGGGGACCACTCGACATCCATGACGGCAGCGACGTGGTCCTTGAGAACGTTGAGGGCGCGGTCGAACTTGCGCATGTCGAAGAGGTAGACGTTGTGGTCCTCAGAGGCAGCGGCCAAGTTGAAGGCCTCCATAGGCGACCAAGCGAGACGGTTGCTGGCGAACTTGAGGACGGTCTTCGTGACGGGGGTGGAGGTGCGGAGGTCGTAAATCACAATAGAGCGATCGTTGGAGGTAGATCCCAAGATTGATGTCTCGACCTGGTTGAAGGCAACATCGGTGATGGTGTCCACTGACGTAGGCCACCTGAGAACCTCAGGGGCGGCAGTGTGTCGCTCGAGATCGTAAATGTTGAGAACGCTCGAAGCAGCGGCAAATGAGTTCTTGGAACGGTGATGCGACAGACTGGTAAATGCGCCAGATCCAAGCCATGAGCTGATAGGAGCCGAATCGCTAGGCGTGTTGTAGGGATCGAAGAGCTTAACGGTTCTGTCGGCGGCACAGGTCAAAAGCTTTTGATCGCGAGTCCATTCCATTCCCTTGACGATGTTCTCATGCGCTGAGGCGTGCCATATCTCATCTCGGTCGGCAAGATCCCACACTTTGACAATACCATCACCACTGCCACTCGCAAAGTGCTCAAGAGAGTTGGGGTCCTTGGCGATAGAGTAGACACCGTCAACGTGACCGTTTCCTAGCTGGCCGACGAAAGGCTTCGCATGCATTCGCTCGAGCTTAACAGCATTGAGGGCTCGCTGATACTCTCGTGCGCGTTCGAAAGGGTGGAGAGCGGAATCGAGGTTGCGAGGTTGCTTGGTAACATCTGTGCCAGCAGCCTGTTGCGCTGAGACGGAGCGACTGAGGGCCTTGATCTTCATGTTGAGTAACCCAGTATAGTTTAATCGAATTTTCCTTTCTCGAGGCTGAGATTTTGGCGGGGAGTGAAGCTATGGATATTTTTTTCTGTTATCGCTACAGTACCCTTGCACATGCAGGCCGATAAGGCCGGGATTACTAATGATCCGCCACCGAGCTAGGTACGGGTACAGTTCAGCAGATCGCATATGCAACTCTAAGGTCAGGGCTTCAGTTCGCATTGTTGCGAAAACTCACCCTCTTTGTTGACTTCACCCATTTATCTCATCTTTTGCCGAATCGAACCCCAAAATAACACGCACATATCGATTCTAACTAATATTTCTACACTGCACTACGCCACTATCGTGTGGTCTTTACTCCTTTCAGATCCCTCGAGGCGCGCAGCTAACCAGCAATATGGACGGGATGGATTACGATCCCATGGTGATGGACGGGGAGCCTGAGCAGCCCCAAGTGAAGATCTCTGCGGTATGAGAAAAGTCCCGAGCAAATTTGCTTTCGGGGGACGCTCAACTGATGCGACTCAGGCCGACCACACGCATGTCGATTTCGAGCTTTCTAAGACGAACCTCGCTTTCGCCAATGCGGTGCGACGAATCATCCAGGCAGAAGTGCCTACGATTGCCATCGATCTAGTCGAAATCGAGACCAACAGCTCCGTACTAGCTGACGAGTTCATCGCCCACCGCCTGGGTCTTATCCCCCTCGACTCAAAAGGAGTTGGCGAGCTCAACTACTCACGAGACTGCGATTGCGAGCAATACTGTGAACAATGCAGTGTAACCCTTACGCTGCATGCCAAGTGCACATCCGACGAGATCATGAAGGTGTATGCGCGCGATCTGGTGGTCGATGGCCGCCATGGAAACTCGGTGGGAAGCCCTGTGATTACAGACCCTGAAGGATACGGCTGCCTGATTGCGAAGCTCCGAAGAGACCAAGAACTCAAGATCAGCTGTATTGCAAAGAAGGGAATCGCAAAGGAGCACGCCAAATGGATGCCCACATCTGCTGTTGGCTTTGAGTACGATCCTCACAACAAGCTGAACCACATCGATTGGTGGTTTGAGAACGACACAGATCCTGCTGTGGAATGGTAGGCACATTAACGAACTCTTGCATGGCAATGAACTAACGCGATGTTCCAGGCCCAAGAGTAAATACGCTCAGTGGGAAGACCCTCCTCAGGAGGGCGAGCCTTTCGATTACGATGCAGTTCCCAACCGGTTCTACTTCGAGGTGGAAACATCAGGGAGCATGGAGCCTGATCAGATTGTGCGGGAGGGCATTCGAGTACTGCAGCAAAAGATTGGTGGTCTGCTTAAGGGCTTGGATCCCAGGAAGTACGGTGGTGATGAGGCCGACTTTGATGGTCCCCGAAGTCCAGACATGAACATGGACGGCGGAACTACACCTTGGCAGGACGGAGGCTACACTACACCATACGGCGGTGGTGGCCAGACGGCGTACGGAGGCGGCGGTATGACAGCTTACGGAACAACACCGTACGGAGGTTCTTCTTGGCAGTAGGGCGAGAGGCGTTTGATGGGTAAAGTTACTTCGTAATCAAAGATGGTTTGGCAGTCTAAAGATAAATCAGGTTTGCAACAGTCTCTCAAAAACAAGTCAGCATAGCACTATAGAATGGATTAATTTCAGGAATCAAGAATCTCATGACACATCCGTTCTAGTATTGTTATTTAGAAAATGCTTGCCTATCCGTTTTGCCCACATTCTATATGATGAGTATAACATACAAAACAAATTCTCCTCAAAGAGATATCTGGTCAGGGAATTTTGAATGCGAAAGCAGGAACGCCAACAGCAGTCACCGCTCTTGCGTGACAAAATGACAAAAACACAACGCCAAATATGCCCTTCTTCGCCATGGTCTATAATGCCGTCTATAGGTTGTCGTCTAGGCCCTGTACCTTGCGGTACGCCTTGCGGTGCATCTCTAGGAAGACAAATGTACAGATGGTTTGCCTGACACAATGTTAATTTGAGTTCAAGTTTGGGATTGCGAAGAGGTTAACATACGGTCCGAGTCTAAGGAAGCTGGGCACCCAGCCCTTGAACATCCACATAAGGCCGTCGGTCCGATGAATGTCGCGCATCAATTGGAGAACTCCGTGGTCATGCGTCGAGGACATGACACGAGTCTTGATAACGTCGACAGGACTTGTGATAGTAGCAGCAACCAGACCAGCAATGAACGAAGCGGTGAAATGAGTCTTGAGGTTATCCTCCATGGGAGTATACTTGAGCAGCAGGCTCTTGGCAACGTCATAACTGGCGAGCTGACCGGCGGTCATGAACATGGCACGACCACTATTGGGCAACCAACCCCGGAACATGCTCTTGGGACCTTCTTCACGCGCCATACGAACCATGCCGTCAAAAGCATGGCGATAGTTTCGACGCTCAGCCGGAGGAAGCGCTGCATCGTGCTGCATGCGCACATTGAGAACATCGGCAAAGTTTCCAGCAATACCGCCCACGAAACCAGAACCAGCGGCGAGGGCAACGAGAGTCGCAAAGGAGGGGGTTTCGCCATTGTTACGGCGTGTAAGGCGTGTCTTGAGCTCTTCATAGACACCGAATCGGGCGGTAGAATATGTCATCTGTCGCAGCAGCGAGGCTGAGATACCGCTGTAGAGACCGAGGGGGCCGTCATTGCGGAGGATGTGAACGAAGGTGCCGACCATGTTCTTGGGCGCATTGCCGGTGCGCATTTGGAGACGAACCTAGATATGATGTAAGGAGCTGTTATATACTGAATAAGAGGTTGTGAAGCTTTACCTTGACTGTGAAGGACTCAATGTTAGCTCAACTTGGTCATCATGATAAGAAAGCATATTCAGAACATACCAAGATCCAAAGGATGGGTTACGCAGGCAGCCATACTACTGGCACTTCCTCCAAACCAAAAAGGATATCTTATCGTCGCCTTCTTCGCATCGGCCGTCGCCTTTGCAGGCTGTGCTTCTGTTGTCTTGCCCATGGTCTGTTGAGCGGTAGCCATGACGTGCAAGGACTGACTACTATACGTAGGTAAAGTAGTAGTTTCAGTAGCCAGGTCCGTTCCAAACTTGATCTTGGTCTTGGAGGGGGGAAGGGGGGCAGTCAAGTTTTTAGCTCAGAGCCTAAGACTATCTAGAGTTAAGCTCTTGATTCAACGTCGATTCAATGCGGATGCCATAGCATGGATGCAGAGTATCCTTCAATTATGACAAAATGTGCGATGTGGGAACGAGATTTTAAATATTACAGTCAAGGATAAGACGGCAAGGGGAAAAAAGTTCGGTTATTCTGACAATTCCTACCGAACCTAACGGCAAGGGTAGGTTAGGTACATTGTACTACTTGGAAAACTCCGTGATCCTCAGTTATCTCTAGTTCATCAGTCGCCCGTAAACTTATCAATTGACCCGGGGTTTAGCTTCTGTAGCCGGAGAATCGGAGCGGTGTCGGATGTCAAGTTACCGAAGCAGGGGAATCGTGGAGAGGTAGGTTCTGATTTTACGCTAGCAGCTGAGACTTTGGAGAAGTTGGAGTCGTTCCAGTTATAAGGTACTCGGTGCTGTAACTGTGAGTTTATATCCGGAGCAGTTGTAAGGCCGAGACCCGAACTTTTTTGCAATTTTGGTGATACGCTGCGACACTCTCGTGGAACCATTTTCGGATTCCTGTCTTTCAGCTCCTACGATTTGTCCGACCAGCCATTGGCGTCTGTTACGTGGCTCGACCGGCCTGTAATGTAATTGTCGAGCTTCACAAGTCTTCAAAATGAGACTCTACGTCCAGGGCATGCGCTGCCTGAGGGCTTCTGCCCCGCGAGCCGTCCAGCTTCCCCGGAGCTCTGTACTGCTGCGAACAGCTTGCGCTGTAAGAGCCTACTCGTCGGGTCGGTCTCGTTCCAGTCAATTAATTGCATGGATGTCTCGCTGACTGGCTTGACCGTGTTGCAGTACCCCCGAAGGGATCTTCAGGCTCTGTGACTATCCGTGGACAAACTATTAAGACTGACCCGGAGTGGTTCAATGTCCCCGAAAACGTCCTCGATGCTACTACAAGGAAGCTTCACTTACTTAAAGACCACCCTGTGTCCATCACTCGCCAGATCATTCAGTCTAACTTCCCTGAGCCAACCTTCAAGTACCACAATGAGTTTAGTCCCGTTGTGTCGACAAAGCAGAACTTCGACTCGCTAGGATTCCCTTTGAACCACCCTGGCCGCGCTCTGTCCGATACATATTATATCAACAGCGAGACGCTTTTGCGAACACATACGAGTGCCCACCAAGCCGATACCTTCCGAGCAAATGAAAGCGCCGGTTATCTTGTTTCAGCCGATGTGTACCGGCGAGATGCCATTGACCGAAGCCATTATCCTGTATTTCACCAAATGGAGGGCGCCATGTCCTGGGATCGTACCAAGGTTCCCAACGGCGACGTCGCTGCGGCTGTGTGGAGGGATTTCGAGAAGCTGCCTGTCCACGGAGTCAAGGTAGACGACCCTAATCCTGCCATGCACCCTGAGCGCAACCCACTCCAAGATACGCACCACACAGCTGCCGAGGCTGAGGCTATTGGTGCCCATCTGAAGAGATCATTGGAAAACATGGTTGTCGACATCTTTAGCCGAGCCAAGGCCACTGCGATTAAAGAGGATCCCAACTTCGTGGACGAACCCCTCCAAATGCGATGGGTTGAGGCTTACTTCCCATTTACCAGCCCCTCTTGGGAGTTAGAAGTCTACTATGCTGGTGACTGGCTTGAGGTGTTGGGATGTGGTGTTGTCAAGCAGGATATCTATATCAATGCCGGCGTGCCAAACCAACTGGGCTGGGCTTTTGGCATTGGCATTGACCGCATTGCAATGCTTCTCTTCAAGATCCCAGATATCCGCCTATTCTGGTCCAAGGACAAGCGATTCCTGTCCCAATTTGAAGGTGTCACCGATAATCTGGACAACCTTAAGCGCTTCGTCCCCTTTTCCAAGTACCCTCCCTGCCCCAAGGACGTGTCTTTCTGGCTTAGCTCCACGACAGCAGCCGGCGGCAACACTAAGGGAACATTCCACGAAAACGATGTGATGGAAATTGTCCGTAACGTGGCTGGTGATGTAGTCGAGGATGTGCGACTCATCGACGAGTTCACTCATCCCAAGACCGGACGAAAGAGCATGGCGTATCGTATCGTATACCGCAGTCTGGAGAGAACTCTGACTAACGACGAGGCCGTTGCTTTCCACGAGGACGTCCGTAAAGCTCTGGTCAAGGAGCTAGGCGTTGAGCTCCGATAGAGTAAGCTCGAAGCTAGCGTAGATCGGTCATGCTGATCATGGCTTGTGGAGTAGCTGGAGCTCATGATCAGCTTGGCATGATAGCTTAGATTCAAATCCTTGACTAGACTTGAGGCTGTATAATATATTGATGTATACTAGTCGTATTGCGTTATCCCGTAAGTCAGAAATTGCATGAAGAGCTTGTGCCTGTAGGCTGAGCTCCTGACGTAGCCAGATTGCAGATACATTGCTTCGGATAGTTGACAGCAGGTTATGATAGCGTATGGAAAAGCTGCTGCGCCATAGTCAAATGACAGCCTCGATTTCCGCGATCGAGCATGAGACATCATCAATGGCCAAGCCACGGGTAGTGCTAAGGATCGGTAAAATTACAAGATGCAAGATCATTCAATGGCTTTGCGCGAGTGACGTTGTTTTCCATCTGAGCCACGTCGGGCCCTTGCATCGTAAGCTGCCTCCCAATGGGGCGGTATCAAGACAGGCTAGGACAGGGGTGAGGCAGATGGCTTGTGCGTTGTGGCGTCGACTTTGTAAGTGGCGTTGGTTTCGGAGGTTTCCAATTTATTGGGAGGCCGATTTGTTGGACGGCAGTCTTGACAAAGTGCAGACCTCGGTAAAGAGGTCTGTTGTTGACGTTGGAATTGGTTGAGTTACGATTCATCTTACTTCAATCAGAGTTGACTCTAGTTATGGTTATGCTTTATCTGGCGGCCTCATCCTGTAGTTCTTTACGATATTGACCATTAAGCGGCCACTCTGATGCCCAAAGTCTCTCATTAATCTTGATATCGTAATATCCTCAGTACCAAATTCTCCATGGTGAGAATTGATCGATCAGTTTGTTAGCAAATACCAATATTTCGTCCAAGACCTTCTGCAGAGCCAAAGCTATTGGTTTCCGCATCAGGAAGGTATAGCAAGACAAGTTCGACTCTAGTTGGGTTCCAAGCTGCATGTGCTGTCTATCCTTGCAAGGATTCCTTTTCTGTATGTCACTGTTAGATTTAGGGATAAATGCAAAGCTTGGCATGAGGTTGGAACTAGTATGCACGATCAATTTTGGATAATATCAAGGCGAACATTGCAATGCTTGGCTTAAGGCGCATAGCTGAGAGTCGAAGACAAAGCTTTGGGTAGGTATAGTGACGAGCCTCGTGGCTCAACTTTAACACAGCACAGCTGCCTCTTTCGCTCGTATGGGGAGGTGGACAACTGTAGAGTTGGCAATTGTGACGACATTGATGATAGTTACGAGCAATAGCCAAGGCTTCACTCAAAGAGCCCCGCTCGGTTAAGAATGCTCCATATCCCGAAACTTAGTCTATCGATTACGGGAAGACCCAATTCCCCAGTCTGGTCTAGTAACAGGGCGGAGGTCTGCCGCAATCTCGTTAACAAAGATATAGCCACTGAGTATAAGCTGAAGATCTTGATACATCGCTGAGGGATTCAAGGCTCATACGGAGGTAGGAAGGACGGATAAGCTTAGGACGCAGCAGGACAGGCTGTTCCGTTCGGGAGCCTCGGACGGAAGAGGACTAAGGTTGCTCGCAGGATGGGAATGTTTTTGTTGTTGCTTCCCGTCTTGTCTTGCACAGCCCCCTTGGATGTTTAGAGAGTGTCTATGAGCTGTGACTGGCTATGCCGGATTTACATTGTGGGGGATCCTTGCGGTTAGATAGGTAGGTATCCTGGAAATTTGTTTATCGAGCACAGAGTGTATTCTCAGTAGAGTTGAGCCATCTTTTTACAAGGTTTGTCCAACAGAAGCTGTATGAAACCAGAGACTCCCTGAAGATGAATACAGTAGCAGTAAGAGAGATAACAAGACTGTGTCTTCTCAAAGATACAACATTTCCGTTGATAGCAAAAGGTCTGCAGAGGTTCAAGTTCTGGGGTTAAAATGCAATACACTGCAGTAGTGCCATGCGGCGTCCCGGGGGGTGGGTGTGTCAAACTCCAATAAGGGATTGGTTCTCGATCAGCGATTCGTGAGCGGTAAAACAGTAGATGGCTTGAATCGGGTTTGAAGATGAGATTGCGAGACAGACGGTCAGACATTCCGATTACTTACTTTGTTGCGCGGCTATGACGAGTCAGAGATGACATTTTGCTAATTTCGTGATATTCCTCTGCTTCTGTCTCTGTCTCTGTCTCTGTCTCTGTCTCTGTCTGATTGTCACTTGATAGAGTTACGGATACTCAACATTAATCGAGACCCATTTACTGGTTACTGGTATGGATGACAGACTATAGTCAGTCTATGGGGACAAACCATGAATCGAGAACAACATTGGCGTTCTGAGCCCCTGGCACTATCAACACAGCCTTCTCAAATCTCCTCAACAGAAATTCTAGTCCGACTGATCGTAAAACAGTGAAAGCAAAGAAAAAAAGCTTAACGTTCTGGCCCCGGACCTTGGATCCAAGGAATCGCCATCGCCATATCCGTGTCGGGATGTTTTCAATCAACAGATGACGTCTTATTGGCTGACGAAACAAAAGAATGGGTACCCTGCAGATGCACTGCCCCGGGCCTCCAAAGAACAGTGGGGTAGACACCCTGTAGTCTAGGTACCGCTAACCTTGTTTGGGCTGTTCTGCCCTGTACGTGGCCACTGGACGATAGTGCACGAGTAAAGTCCCCAGCCGCCGAGAGGCTTAGTAGTCGTCGTGTTGCGGCGCTTCTGCCCGGGTCATGCATGCATGGAGAACATGATAGAAGGCATCTAGTACATAATAGCCACCTGGTTCGCACATTTCGTTTCTATCATCTCAACTCACTCAGACACAAACAACAAGGAACAGACAGTTCTACAGTTCTTCTACAGAACAATATCATACACAATCATCAAAGATCGACAGGATCACCCGGCCGATCCTATACTTCATCTACACAACCTTAGAGCCAGCCACTTCAACTGCTGTTCTACTCACCTCTCTCCTACAACCTCACAAACTACAATCACAACCACAATCAAAATGGAGACCTCACCGCAACACTCGCGATCTGCCTCTTCCGCCTCGCGCCGGTCAAACCGTTCAAACCTCTCTCTCGACCTCTCCAGCCTTCCACCTATGACACCGCCTACGCCTCCCTCAAACACTCTACTCTTCACCAACCTCACCGACCAGGATATCTTCCTCCCCGAGAACCTCGATGTCATCCGCGACCTCATCACCCACACGGCTCCTATCCATGCCTTCGCACCGCTGAAGTCTTTCCGCCGCATCGTCGTCTCTTTCTTTGACGAGGAGGCAGCCATCGCCGTCCGCCAGATTTGGGATAACGAGGCTATCATGGGCCAGCAGTGCCGTGTCTACTTTGGCATGCCTACTCCAGTCGACAAGCGAGACGAGCATCTCGCTCTTCCTGACGCTGGCAAGCTCTTCTTCATTTCGCCCCCACCTAGCCCTCCCCACGGCTGGGAAATGCGTCTCGAAGATGCGCCCAACAAGCTGGTCCACGCTGAAGACCTTGCTGATGCGCTTGCTAAGCTGCACCACCGCCCCGGACCTATGGACGAGGACGAGAACTCGCCGGTGACTCCTCTCGACTCCGCCCTCCCAGGCCGTACACGCTCTCGATCCTCTACTCTGATTTACAAGCCTGAGGAGAAGAGCAGCATGCCCGCTGTCATTGTCGATGACATGACAGATGAGCCTATCGAGTACAGCCCCGTGGAGCAGTCCAAGCCCATCCTGGCGCACACTGCCCGACCTCCCGTTGAGCTGATGCACGATGCTTAAGCTGGATGTTTCCAGTATATTCATCAATCAACATGAATATTGTGGCTTTTTCTTTTGGCGTTTAAGGGTACATACTACGGGAACTGGGGATTCGGCGATGACATGGTTGAGCGGTCTGTCTTCCTAGGTCTATAACGGAGCATTTCATCCTATGAGCATGGATATACTACAGGAGTTGGTAAAATATGTCTTTTATCGGTTTATTACTATGGAAATAAACGGTGGTAAACGTGCCATATCTAAATGGCATTTGCCCAGCTGGCGCAGTTGTACTGTACACTATAGCTAGTTGTTAATACTAGTTCTGAATACAGAATTAAACCATGACACATCCATTTGTTTACTCTTCATGATGCCTTGATTGACTCTGCCCTTGAACAAGATCTTTTTGACCATAGTACGATACTAGTCAGCCCAAACGAGGCTCTGCTGCGCCAAGACAGCTGACAACAGATGGCGTGGTATACTCGATTCGCCCACGAGTCTGACGAGGCTTACCGCCGCCATGGCTCCAGCAAGTGACCCGACTACAAGCACTGCCTTCTTTACAGCAATCGAAAGTTTCGAAGTATCGGCCGATGTCGATAGTTTTGCCTCCTGTTCTGTTTTTATGCCTAGCTCTGTGAGCATACCGATACGTGGTAGATACTGGAACTCGAAAGTGCTTGATTTATCGAGACCGCCTGCTTTTGTGTTGTTGATCATAAAATTTGCAAAGTGTTTGAATTTCTAATCATTGTGTTAGTCAGGTCTCAACGTCTTCGGACTGTAGTTTGGGATTAGGCTGAGTGAGTATGATAGGACGTAGGCTGACTGCTAGGTTATACTTACTCGCTCTCGCTCTTTTTGCATATCAGTCGGCAGCCAAGGATAAGTATAACTAAAAAAGAAGAGAAATGCACATTGCAGCCATACAAGAGCACGAAAGCGCAAACTAGGCTTCTCAATACCGAGTGCGCCAGCTAACTCATCCCCGTTTAGTCTATACGCATGTGCGGCAAGCAACTCGCGAGGCATATGGAGTGGTGGAACTCGAGCTTCTGCTGTGAGGATGTTGTTTGCGAGGATTCGTGAGTTTGCTGAAGGAGCTACCTCAGATACTGCAATAGACTCCCATAGAACCTTTGCTCGTTCTGGTGAAGCCATCCAGTCTGTAGGTGTTCCCAGGAGGTATCCAACGTAACGCCACAAGGCGAAGTAATCAGTTGTTTGCTGCTCACTGAGATAGATACCTTGCCTAGGAAGGGCAACGAACACAATGGCCACTGAGTACACTGCAATAGTACCAATAGTATGTAAGTCGTTGATTGGCACTCCCCATTTCTCCATGTCAAAGTATCCTGGCTTTTCTTGTTCGAGTTGCATGAGTCGTCTTCGAACTGAAGCGTGCAAGAGCCTCACTCGTATTGACGAGATATTACCCTTCCCGCCTGGCTTTATTGAATCGATGTCTTCGACGACTTCCATGAAATGTTGGAGAGTTTCTAAGAGACGACGTCTAGTGACGTTGACGCCAAAGCCTCCGGTTCGAGAGAGGGTTTCGACGACTCGGTATGCACCCATTCCACCCAGTAATGACTTATACAAGAGCTTTTAGATTGTTAGTAGGATGGCCAATTCTGGTGAGGTGGTATGGCTTACTCCGAAGAGAATCTGTCCGCTGAACTGATACACCACTTGTTGTCCACGCTCAATTTGCTCCCAGTCAACCCATTCAGGGACTGTGGAGGCTTCTTTCCATAGCTGGCCTAGTACTTCATCCGAACTGGAGTATTTCTTCAGAAGTTGGTAAAGGTCCCTTTGCCCTGGGCCTGAGCCATGGGGACACTTCCATCCTTTTGTGCTAGGAGGGGAGAAATAGTCCAACTGATCCAAGGCATCTGTAGCTAACTTGTCATATGAATAGAGCAAGTGGTTTATTTCAGGGCCAGTCTGGTGCTGAGGAGTCCAGTTGAACTTATGACCCCAGGCGTTCCTGGCATCAACAAAACCGTGAGAATAGTAGTGATCCATTGATGATGAGTAGAAAAATATCCAACAAAACAAAGGACATCCCCCGCATGGAGGAACCGGCATCCTCTTAAGAGTAAGACTCATTTCTACAAGGGCCCTTAGCAGACTTAATGACGAGCATGATCTGATTCATGACGATGGAGACTTGTTAGTAAAACATTCTGCACCTTGTTGCCAACAGTGGCACAGTGCAGTGTCATGAACTACTTCCCTGTCACTTGCATTGGTACCTATGCAGTTGTGCCTTAGTGGAAACGGAAGAAAGAAACCGGAGGCTCAATGCATCCAAATATGAGATGCAAGTGGCGGACAGTATCGCTGACATGTCATGGAAACGTTCCTGGGCGAACATAGGTTATACATCGCTGAGATCCTCGCGAAACATATATCATGACAAGTCGCAGGTCTCATTATACACTGTATTCCTTCTTGAATTACCAGATAGTCGTCAACTACCACGACACATCAGAGTGAAGCAGTCTCACCTTCTTGGCAACGCCCGAATCTAACGATCGTGATACAAACCCGGTTCCTGGATATTGAACTCCTGAGAAGGTCACCAGTCGGTCGCCTATTCTGTCATCCCGTCTTTAGTGAGCCAGTAGAATCTTCTAAGCCAATCTCATCAATTAAGAGTCTGACAAGCCGGGTTAATGTTCTCACTCGACCAGAAATGTAGCAGCGCTATGGAGTAAAAGTATCTTTGACTTGTGCGAGACACATAACACTGCTACCCAATGGATGTTGGATGACTTGTAGTCTATCGTGGCGATACTTGTCTAATGGGTAGACTAGAACACGAACAAAGCCGAATCGAGGAACGCTTGATGTTAGTGCGCCCGGAGTCCATCTCCGAATTGTGTGGAATCGATGATCATGACATTGAAGGGGCATCTTTTCCGAAGATCAGTAATGACAGATGAGACTTGTCAGAATGAGGGAATTCAATGTTTTTATGGTGCTAACATGGATGAATGCGTTTTCTCATAAGATGACGAGTAGAATGGATAGTGAATGTATAGATCGAGACGAGTAATGACCATGATGAGTACATAACGAGTAGTCTAGAGGTGGGTATATTGAAACATTACAATTGATGCAACAATGAGTCAGTGAGATAGTAATGAACGTAGACTATTCAAATCCTTGCCTTTTGAGTAAATCTCGTGAATTGACAGGTTGTAGTCATGATGAAAGTCGAGTTATGAGAGGACAGTACAGATAAAGAAACAGTTTGATGCTTCTCGTGGTAGTTCATGATATCACAATGAGCGTGAAACGAGTTTATAGTGTACACCAGTAAGTTTGTGTCTTTGTCTCGCTTATAAACTCAAATGCACGAACTTGTCGACACCTCAAGCCATGATATCTCGATGGAAGTATCACACTTTGTAAGGTACCGGGTAACTGGAACCACCGGAGTACGGTATAACACAAATCCGAACCGCCTCCGAATTGTACGGCCCCACCTTCGGATGCTGGTCTCCATCATGAAAGCCTCTTTTGCCGGTCGCTCAAATTTGGTTCGACTTTTCTAGTCACTCCCCTCCGGATCTGCAGTCGCTCGTCCAACTTGTCATGATGAGTTGCACATGTCGAGCCACGCCCTTGAAAATATTCGTGCAGGGATTGTCTCAAGTTCACAAACTTGAGGCTTCACCCTCATTTGTTCGCCTTCCGATCCGAACTCGACCGGCGCTACAACAGAACCATTTTGCCTTTGCACGACAGGCTCGATCTTTGCACTTTTCGAACAAACTTAATCAAAACTCTTCCGAGGCTACTGCAAAGGAAACTGAGGCGGTGATCGAGAATTCTACCCAGGACAAAGATGAGACGACTCAAGTGAAAGCAGAATACTTCGCTCCAGTGGAGGATACTTGGAAAGCCCAACCAAGCAACAGTGAAAAGTATCGCAAGCGAAAAGACAACACACGAGATACAAAAGGACGAACGACATACAACCGCGGAGAAAAAGAGCCTAATGCTACAGGCACGTGGGATAAAGCGGCCGAATTCAAGAAACCTCGCATCAAAGGCCCTTCCTCAAATCAACCGCAGTCTGGTGCAGCCTATTGGAAAGCCCAAAAAGCAGCTCTGAAAGAAAAGTTCCCCGAAGGATGGAGACCCAAAAAGCGTCTCTCCCCCGACGCTTTAGCCGGCATCCGAGCCCTCAATGCTCAATTTCCCGAAGTCTACACGACCCAGGCCCTTGCTGAGAAGTTCCAAATGGATCCAGAAGCTATTCGCCGAATCTTGAAGAGCAAGTGGGTGCCCAACGCTGTGGAAGAGGAGGACCGACAAGAGCGCTGGTTCCGTCGCGGAAAGAGTGTTTGGGAGACGCGGGCTGCGATGGGTATCAAACCTCCGCAGAAGTGGCGACAAGAGGGTATCGCACGAGATCCTAGTTATCATGATTGGAAGCAGGAGGCGGTTGAGAGGAATAGAACTCGGGCCCAGAAGGACGATTGGGAGATTGAGCGTTCTTATAGACCCCGGCCTAAGCGCAACTCTGATTCTGAACGTCCTTCTCAGCGTCCGTCTAAACCGTGGATACAACGAGGAGGGCAACAGGGCACGCGACCCAAGCCCAACTATGGTCCTAGACCCAAGGGTTCTTCTGGACCTCAATCTGGAAGAGGAGATTCATGAAATGGCAATTGTACGATGAGCACGATGACGAATTATTACATATAGACCGGATTGGATAGACTGTACTATAGTTGTAAACTTACTCTACTATTGAATGTAACATGATGAGTTTGAGCCAAGCTTTTAGGGGAACATATATTATAGACGCCGAGTGCATGGGTTGAGCTTCAGACGATACCATGGGTCCTATAAACAAATATGAAACGACTCAGTTAGTCCAGAATCACACTGGAGGTGTTTCTACCAATCGCCTAGTTCATCACCTGTTGTCGAAATTGCTCCTTGGCAACGGAGGCTCTCAACTTGACGTGGGTTCATGGTGGTAAAACAAGACAGGGATTGGTTTGGAGGGGGGCGCTTAGAGACGCATATGGTTTCACTGCCACATGCTAAGTAGCTAACGTAGAATTCAACTCTCACCACTCTGGCCTTTTATCTTTTCTTTAGATAAAAACCTCGAGTTCGACTTTTACACTCTTTCAATTGATACACAGACTCAAAACTATCTCGCTCATCTAATTTGTGTCTGTACAACGACACAACGCCCTTCTAATATATCATCATGCCGGCTCAATATCCGCGGCCTCCGCAGCGCGAATCATGGTTTGCGCCGCTATCTATTGACCTACTCCTCAAGGTCCTCAACACGACTATTCTGCACCCTTTTGTCTGCTGGATCATTCCATTGTGCTTTCGCGCGCAGACAGTGAAATGGGAGGCCCCGCCTATGATAGCCGCTATTGCTTGGGCTACTATAATCACGCTTTTCTGGATGGCCAATGTGATCAACCAGCGCATCGCTCATGGTATCCCACGTGAAGTGGACCTGAGTGAGGAGGTTATCGTCATTACTGGGGGTGCCAGCGGGCTGGGTCTGCTCATTGCTGAGGTGTATGGTATGCGCGGCGCGACAGTGGCAGTGCTGGATGTGAATGAGATGGAGAACACGGAGGCGAGAGGTGTTACGTACTACAAGTGTGATGTTGGCAACAAGGAAGAGGTTGCTAAGGTTGCGCTCGAGATCGAGAAGGATGTAAGTTTTGAGTACCATGAAGACGCTAGAATCGTTGCTAACTGTACCCCAGCTTGGTACACCAACTGTGCTCATCAACAACGCTGCTATTGTCATTGGCAAGAGCCTCTTGGATCTCTCTATGGATGAAGTCGACAAGAGCCTCACAACTAATCTTCTGGGACCATTCTACTGCCTCAAGACTTTCCTACCTGCTATCATCCGCAGTGGAAACGGCGGTACTATCGTCAATATCTCTTCAGTCATTGGAACCGTTGGCGCTGCCCAACTGACCGACTACGCTGCCGCAAAGGCTGGCCTTACAGCTCTGCACCGTTCCCTTACAGCTGAATTGCGCGAAAGCCACCCCGAGATCAGGACAGTGCTTGTTACTCCCGGCCAAGTAAGCACGCCGCTATTCTATGGGGTCCAAACGCCCAACTCCTTCATTGCGCCTGTCGTTGAGCCTGTGGACGTAACGAAGGAGATCGTCGCGGCTATAGACAGCGGAAAGGGCGCTACTGTTGCGATGCCTTTGTATGCTCGATGGGTGGATTGGTTCAACGTGCTGCCTGTTGGGGTACAGACGATGGCGCGCTGGGCAGCGGGCGTAGATCGGGGTATGAGGACGTTTGTTGGAAGACAGGGACAGAAGTTGGAGTGAACTTAACGCAGGCGTCAAGTTGAGAGTGACGAGAGGAGAATTGAAATGGAATTGAAATGGTAATGCGATATTAGACGGTGTATGTTTATTGGAGCATTAATACAATGTCAGCACAAGGGGTAGCTGGCTAGGAACAACGGCCACCAGAGTTTACTCGTATGTAACATGGGACAATGACTCGGCTCCCAGACAAGAAAAGAAACCTGGTCCGTCAGACATGGGATTCATACGAGAACATTGACCGTATTTCTGTCCTAGGGTGTTGAAAATCGCAACCATGGCTTCTAGCTGAGTGAAATTCACGGGGTACATAGATCATGGCATGATGCCTTTGCGCATCATGCAGAATCGTCTCATTGGAGCATAAATGTCCAATGCATCTGTTGAGTTGTCCTACATGAACAATCCCACCTCAAGTCATATATGCATCATTATGTGGAAGGATACACCATGGGTTGAGAACTGATGAACCCTGACCGTTCGGGACTCGCATATTGGACGTTTATATCCGACTGGACAGAATCGGTGGCCGGGAATAGGAAACCACCAAGGGCTAGAAGGATGGATGGAAAAGGATATGTGCAGCCCTGCGGGCGCTATCTAACAGTTTGCAAGGACGTTGACCACATGGTTTGTCGCTTGGCGTGTCCGGTATGGATAGGAATGCTTCACGAGACCTGAAGGGATTGGTTACACCAGGGTCAATAGACCTGTCACTTAACTTGAGTGGTAAATAAGATGAGGGTATACAGTAGTAAGTATGTGGTATAGTATCTCAATGGTATGGCGTTACATGAGGAATTTGTCTCAGAGTCCGGGGATTCTTGCCACAGTCAGCTGAAAGTGTAGACTTTACTTCACTTTACGCCCGTTACTCAGTGGAGAGAGTGGAAACCCCGCTGAGTTGTCAAGCCGCGAGGTTTCATGGAATGACCCGAGAGACTGGAAAGTTTAGCTGGTTCCATTCCTTCTAGTCGCCTAAATTTGCTCTTTCTGTTTCTGATGAGAGTAGAGTCGTCCAGGAGGCTGGTAGTTGGTTGGGAAGGTGCGGCGCAATGGGGAAGGTGGGGTTCTGGACCCCTTGCTTGGCGGGGGAAACAGCGACCCGACGGACCTCAAAACGTCATGTCACTCGCCGTTTATCGAGGTTCCTACGCCCGCTGAGCTGCAATGAGTGATTGAATTAATGAATCCGCCAACAGCCAACATCCACATCCTGATCCATTGACCGAAGACGCGCCTTTAAGCGAATCCGAGTATTACTCGATCACTACAAGGTGAGCTTACAGCGTCAACAATTCAATCGGTAGCATGAGGTACTCTGAGACTGCTGCTAACTTGTTGCAACAGAAGAATTCAAAACCATTGGATCAATGCAACATGAGCACGCGACAATTAAACATAAGCGACGCTGCACGATTAATTATAAATCGAGGCCGGCCTCGGTACCGACGACCCGTTGCAATCCATTCATACGCCCGCTGATGCCGTTACGCCCGCTATTGTGCCGACTGTAATACCAACGGATCAGAGTCTAGAGTGTTTACGAACTGCTTGATAATTCATCATCGATCAGATCAACTCGAATCACACACAGAGAAAGACATACAGTACACGACAAAGCCATGAACAGTCTCGTTCCTGTGACGCTCAAAGCCAGGTCCATTGCTTCAGTAATCATCTTAAACTCGGTCTTGGCCAGAGAGTTACCTAGCGGCAGGCCTTATCTGCGCCCGTTCCTTTAAGACCCCTCCCCACCAATCACGCCGCCATCACATCCTGCACCAGCCCGCAGCCACGAGCCGACAATCCCACATTGCTACATAGATAAGCGTTCTTGGGTTTCCCACGCCCTTTTTTACTGCTACTCTACTTCGTTCACTGCATTGAAACAGCATTTCATTGCAACTCTACCTCTACTTTGATCCTCAGCCCTGCCTCCTTTACCTCCTTCAATCCTGTCAGTTTTGTTCTGGACCTAGTCTAGCCATGCCATGCCACGAATCATGAAGCGAGCCCTGATCCTTGAACATCCATCATCTTTCCCACATACGCTACATTGAACTCAACTCAATTATATGAAACTACTCATGTTCCCTGTTCCCGAGCTGTCAACTGCCTCGCTAAACCTTCTGACTTGTTCCGTGGACATTGCAACCTAAGACTAGAAAGTCACATCAACCTCAGTTCAGTTATACTTGAGTGTTGGTCACTGAGACATCCGCCCCGTCTTGTCTTAGAGTAGTTTCGATTTCAACCACATATAATCCTGCGCCAAAGCTTTGTTTTCACCACTACAGATGCAGGCCTAACTGCGAACATCGCACCGAAAGGGGCTTCTTCTCTCTACCTCTCAAATCGAGTAAACCGAATCGACAATGGGACAGTGGTGGGTTGATTCCCGCATCGAAGCCACCGTTACTCGGTCGTATGTCGTTAGCCAACTCCTCCCCGATGAGGTCGAGCGCTTGGATCGTCCCGTTGCCTTTGGTGGTGAGGATCTAACAGAGCGCACGTACTGGGAGAGCATTCGAAATGATGCGCCGCGCCTATTTCTCATCCTTGTCGACCTTGGTGTACCAGATCAGATCTTTGGCGTTGTTGACGATGGTTGGGATGATGCCGAGCTTCCAATTGCCCTTGAAGATGTGGACCGACTCTTACTAACCGCCACCCGCGACGAGAGAGTCGAGAGGAAGTTCTATCAGCGCCAATTTCACTTCCTCTTGAAGCCCCTACAACGTGGGAACCACGTAGCTTATAAGGACAATGAGGTAGTACCGCTAGACATCGTCGAAAAGCCTTCGCTACCGACGCACAAATCAAATGGGCACGACAAGGTCAAACTCCCCAATGTTCCAGGACAAGTCTTTTCTCGGCGGCGATATGTTCTTGGTAACGGGCCAGGGGCTATGCCCACGCAGGACTTTCTTGATGCGGTTCAAGGGATCAAGGTTCTGCAAAACGAACACATGATTTCGTACTGGGCATCATATACGCAGCACGGATATGGATACGTTCTCTTTACGCCGGCAAGCGACTTTACCCTCAAATCGTTCTTGGCGACAACGCCTTCACAGTTCAAGAATCTTGCGAAAGCTCGCCGAAGAGAGCTTGTCATGAACTGGATACTTTGCCTCGTCGATACGCTCTGTGACTTCCACAGCAAGAATCAGTCACACGGATATATCAAACCTTCGACCATCTTCTTCACCAACCAAAATCACGTATTTTTCTCCGATTCGACTCGACTTACACCTGATAATGTGATACTTCACACTGACAAATCATCATTCGATCGCGAACGGTATGATTATGCGGCCCCAGAGCTCTGGTCTCGACCTACTGGGGCAACAAGCCCGTCAAACCGTTTCCCGTCTGCGGACGAAAGTCATTTTGGCATGATTCAGGGCTACGATCCCAGCGGCTCGCCAAATGGCATGTTCATCGCCCCGAGTCCGCAACTCAGCGGCCAACAAGCCGACATCTTCTCAATAGGCTGCATCATATTAGAATTGCTATCGTATTTAGTCAAACGATCATCAAGCAAGTTTGCGAGCTTTCGATCAGCGAAACACAAGACGGCCGGCCGAGGTGGTGCAGTACTGGACACGTCCTTTCACAAGAATCTTGGACAAGTTGAGCTATGGATGTCAGGTCTTGCGAAAGATGCGACTCGAAAGTCAACATCAAATAAGGACGGTGCGAATATGCTGAAGGGTGTTCACCCTCTGCTGCATGTCGTTACGGGCATGCTGGCAATGAACCCATACGATCGGCCACCCGCCATCGAAGTACAACAGCGTGTTTACCAGATTTTGACTGAAGTTTGCGACATTTCGGAGCCACACTGCGTACACCAGTATTCACAGGATCTGGAAGCCTCGTTTGGTGGACTGCAAATTCATCCTATTGGCGATGGCATAGTAGGAAGTCTGCCAAGCGGGTCCAATACTACGTACGGAACACCACGGACATACCAACACAGCCGAAACGGTAGCAGCGGAGGATATTCACAAGTGAGTCGCACGACAAGTAGTAGCGAAGCCGACGTGGACGCAATACACCAAGTAGGGTCAGTTGGACTGCACCAAGTACGAACGCAAAGCTCATGGCCGCGCAATGTGGCATATTCACAATACCCAAGAGTATCGCAATACTCGGCAGGTCAATGGGATACTCACACTGCATAAGGGAGGCTGCTTCTTTTCCGAACGGCAATTATGATAAGCGAGTGGGGGTGCATGTTTTTTATTAGGATCGGACGTGAAACGGGGTGGCTTATTAGGACTTTCTGTTGATGGTCACATACGGATATCCGTACTGCATCTACGCATAAGCAGTAAGCATGTTGCCGTTTATCTTTTTGAGGCAGGGGCAGTCATTTGACAGGTAAACACGCGTGGCTGCAGCCAAAATACTTATACAAATAGTTTCATTTGCCGGAGCAGGGGCAGGATATTAAAAGCAATTGTGGGTTAAAATAAGCTTCGGATATGGATAGCTTTTGCTTTTGCGGCTGCCGACAGAAGGTATGGATTTATGTACGATTTACGATTGAATGAGACTTCAATTCCGATTACATTATCACTGGAATGCAAACGTGCAGGGTCCCCTCAAGTAGATGCTCCTGTCTGCCTCGCGTAGGACGTAGGTTGGAAGAGTGTTTGAGACATTAGCGAGCGGGAATATATGAAACATGGGAAGAACAATTTGAGACCTTGATGAGGCTGCAATGATTTGACTAATAGAAAATAACAGCTAATTAGCAACGCGACGTTGTTGGGGATCGCATCCCCTATATGGGATCGCGCATAATACACTGATAATTACGATACTACCCGTACATTGAATACATTGGCTAGGTCGTATACTATGAGGCAAATTGGTTTCGGGCCCTACCGAGTTAAGGGATCATGCAAGGCCGTTTCATGACATGGATAAGACCCTGAGGAGTCGGAGAAAGAAGAGCAACTGACGTTGATGGACGCCAAGACAGATGATGCAAGTTGCGCACTGCACTTTCTAGCAGATTACCAGATCCAGGTGAAGATCAACAATTCGCGACTCCACGTTTTTTCTTCCTTGTTGTTCTCTGGGGTTTTCCCCCGATGTATCAGTGGACTGAAGTTGCGCAGAAAAGATCCCTGAATATCCTTGACGAATCGGCGCAATAGTGGAGCCAATGTTGGTCTCAGCGGAGTTTTTCGAGGAAGTGTACGTCATGGGTACCCAAGGAATGTGGGGGAGAGACCGCGGTCCAGATGGAAGAGGAGAAGGAGAAAAAAAAGTGCCTGCTACAGTTGAGGAGAAGAGGAAGAAATCAGAAATCTTGGATAGAGGGACAAGACAATGAGCGGTTATCGCGGAGATGGGAATCCACTGGGGGAAACCAAGAACACCATGAGGGGTTTTGTTTTCTTGTTGGCTCCATCTTTTGGTTTCTTGATGTTGGATGGATAACCTAACGGCTTTTACTGGACAGCCCTTGACAACCCTTGGGGGGTCAGAAGAATTGACCTCAGGCAGCATAAGAGACGAAATAACTTGGTCATCTTAGTCCAGCTTAGACCGGGACTTAGACTGCTTTATTTCTGTATCCTAATATTTAAAGGACAATTCTTCTGACATCCACCTGACAACCTAGACAATTTAGATGTCGGTCCGTAGAAGTGGTAGTTCAGGGGCATTGTGGCAAGATCGAAGCTGTGCTGTAGATCTGGCTGACTGTCTTAGCATGAGTCAACAGAAGGCAACATGTCTCTAGGCTTAGAACTAGAAGGTGTCTTCTAGACTGCTGTGGCTTGGATGTCACGATAAAGACCAGTACCAAGATGAAGACGTAAGACAGATGGAGAAATGCCCGAACATTGGATGTGTCGTCAATACGTATGCAATGCAACTCAGCGTTACATTGGAATAATCCCGACCATGCTTTGAGCCCCTGTACTTGCTAACATATGTAAGTCTTTTTCAGTCATACCCCATGCAAGGCTACCCGCAGAAACACAACAAGATGCAGAATCTCAAGACAAGAACAAGATGTGGACAAAGAGGGGAAAAGGAAAGGAACTAACGTTAGGTAGACTAAGAAAGCTCTTTCTTCTCTTCTGCTGAACCAGTCGGAAAGACCTGATCAGGGGGTGGCAAGATGGAAAAGTTTCTCCCTCAGACCAACTAAAGCGGTTTTTGGAGGCAATGGCCAATCGGTTGGAGCTGATTTATCGGGAGCTGGCAGAAGTGAAGTGGAAGAGGAACTTGCCTTGCCTTGTGCAGCAAGAACAAGAGCAAGAGCAAGAGCCCAGCTTCTCCACTTGAGCTAAAGCTGCTGCAATGCAGCGGATGCAGCGCACTTTAGTGGATGCAGATTACAGTACGTATCGCTATTCCTCCCCCGAATCAAGGAATTGGCTCCATCGAGGGAAGAAAAAAATGGCACCAGGGATCGACCCGCAGGGGGGGTTCGATAATGAGCTTAAGGGAAGGAAAGGGTCAGAGCAAGACAGAGAGAGACATGGTCAAGGTTATTAGGGAGAAGCAATAAAGCTTTGAGCTTTGTCTTCTAATAAACAAACTAACTACCCCCGTCAATCGAAATACTGTACATCTTTCATCTTTTTGATTTGATCTGATCTTCCCTTTTCTTCTCATCAACATCAACATCAATCACCCTGCTTCTAGTTTTCGTTCTTCTCTTATCAGCTTCAAAGAAAGTAACTAGACTAGAACCCCCACGATTGGGTTCACACACACACACGCATTCAGCTTCAGCACACCACAAACGCATACACTGACGCGTGGCCGACCGGGCCGCTACTGCAAACTTACACACCAATCCAATCGTTGACCTTTTACTTTTACGGCCTTTGCCTTTTTCTCTCTCGCTCTCTTCAGAGGGGGTGGATCAACAAAACGAGGCTGCCTCTTGACTTGGGTCTCCCCGAGCCTAAAAGACGACAAGAACAAAAACAACAGGAGTCGCTTAAGCTTAACTACAACTCTACAACCCTCTTTTTTTTCTCACCCAAACATAATCCAGTCGCTACTTTCGAGTCAACTTTGGGAGGAACAAGAAAGAAAGTTAATTGCTTCGTCGATCGATCGTTTGCGACAAGGCTTTGGAACTGGAAAGTGGACAACTCGCCTATTGGATCTACTTTATACGACAAACGCCCGTCTGTCACTTTTCTGGAAAGGAAGAAAGCGATTGAGTTTACTCTCCATCACAATGCGTTCCCCACTACTCTTCTTGCTCTGCGCATTCATGTCTTTGGCATTCGCTGCTGAAGTACATATGTCGGGAAACAGAGCGCCTACCTCTCAATTCGCAACACATGGTGAGTCCTTTACTTAAACCACTTCTACAGTCATTCATGTACTTACTTACATTTTCAAGGTGTCGCATCCCAATTACCTTGTCGCGACCAGGCCATTTACGTTCAGGATCGCGTTCGCTCTCGACAAGCCGCCCTATCACAAATGCTTGGCCACAGCGCAAAAGTCTCCCTCGTCGAAACCGCTTCCGTAAATGTCAAGGCTTTCGCGCATGGCGGAATGAGTTTCCTCTTCGGCTTGGCTTCATCCTCCAACGACGTTCTCGACTACATCAACAACGGCACCACATCTGTGTTCTCGCGGAGCGTCGCTAGCGAAGAAGGCAGCGCGGCCTCAGGGCGAAAGCACGTTGCTTACACCAGCATCGCACTCGTCCTCGTCATGCTCTTCTTCGCTGTGTGGATGTGATGAAAACAAAAACGAATTGAGGCTAGGAACTCTTCGACGAAATGGCTCTACGATACGATCTTTACTACTACTCTTTCTCGCGCGCAACATTTATGATACCCCTACCGGATTTGGCGTTTTATCTGGGTCGGACTTTTATTTGCTTTTTTCGCATCGGTACATACAACATCTTCTTCTTCCCAGGATGCTGGTTCATGGTTTTTGGAGAAAACCGTTACTTGGTGGGGGGAGGATCTCGCAGCAGCGCTGCATCGGCATTGGACAGCAATTGTCCGGATGAACGATTACGGTTTGATAAATAATGATGGCTACGTAATGACGCGTTGGGATATTGAATGGGATGGGATGGGATGAACGGTGCATTGCATCAATCAATGGTTGGCATATGTTAAGGAATATACATACTGATAGACATGGATAAGGCACAAATCAAGTAAGGAGTCGCACTCAGTTCTTGGCTTTCTTGGACAATAGAGTTTCAAGGCTGAGGTCAATTCCTATTGCAGACAGCATCGACAAATTCAATCTGAAATGATACGATCCATCCAATTCAGCTCATGATAACAAAGACTGCAGGCATGATAAACAAGCCTTGTCTGAGGTATGCATGACACGCACACGCACTTGACTTGACCACCCCAACTTCTCCAAACTTGATCCCTGTTTGGGCCGCCTCGGGCTTATCTCCATGAAACAACCCATCGATCGTCGCTCTTGGCATAGAGTGCTTGCGCAATGATGTCTGCATACTGAGACAGTCTTCTCGCGCACAAATCGTGCCATCCGGATAACATCCTCCACCGACGTCGTGACCGTACTGCGTGTTGTTCACCGTTGCGGGGTGCTTCTCGACGACGATGCATTCGTCACTCTGAGCACAGCCCGACGACGAGAAACGCGTCTGGTTCTGCTTACAGGCTTTTAGCGGTCGACGACAATCGTTCTAAACTAGTCAGCTCTAGCCTCGAAGCTTGCGTTTGAGGATGAAGATGAAACTTACCGGCTGACAAAAAGCTTGACAATCTTGAATCTTAGCATGAAAGGGCGGGTGGTAAAGTTCTTCTTTGTCGTTGGTCGTCTCTACCAAAACCTGCTGGTGCGAGGACGCAAGGTTCGGTAGGGCGCTTTCAGACGAGTGCTCCTAATGTCCGTTTGTAGTCTCGAAAACGACTATTACCGCGACTATGGTGACGACGATAAAGACGATGGAGAGGGCGCCCATGAAGGCATATCGGATCCTGTGGTTGATGCGGTGTTCCGATGTACCCCAGGGACTTCGGGTGTGTGTTTGGCATTGATCTCTGTCGATCATTAGGAGCGTTGGATAGAGAGACTCAGGAAGACGGTTTGTAGGGTGCATAGGGTAGGATATTGATTGGATAGGATAGACGATGAGGGAAGATATGATTGTTGATGGAGCTGTATAAGTGAATCATCGGCCAGGAACCTCTTGCCTAGACATTGACACAGGAGACTCCTTCCTTGAACATGCGACAAATCCCGCGAGCACTTCTGCAATTTATAACTTAACCCGGTGGAATCTGGTCAACAAACAATAACCGTCGATGTTTAAAATAACCTTGAAGCTATAATCCCCATTAAGGAGTAAACACTTGAGTAAGAGGTCGCTTGAGCTTGACGCTTAAAGAGTTATAGTAGTTCACTGACTGGTATAAGTCAGCAAACTCTTGCTATACTCTCACATTAGTCAAGCGCATGCGAAATATATGAGATCACAGCCATCTAGTATAGGTAGCTTTATCAATGTCTACCTCATTCTGTCTAACGCAGTCCAATAGCTGTGATTCGAAGGTAGCCCAGCAGTTGAATGGTATCTCTTGAGAAGTTGACTTTTCTCATGAGCAACTGGCACCTCTGTGCTACACTCACTCGTTGGCGTCTTATCATGCCTTCAATACGACACGAGCGGCTTTCTCTTGTTATATCTGTGGCTGGGTCGAGGATAACCTGTGGTTATCATGTTACGGAGATAGTAAATGCTATCGCGAAGGTGCTTGGGTAAGACTCCAGCAATGCGAAATGCAAGTAGTTTCCTAGCCGAGAGGAGTCATGGCATAGATACTTTTCTTCCCGGTCATCTAGTTTCCGGGCCGAATAGACTGACTAGGTGGATTGATGAAAGATGCCAAATAGATATTTCATGAATATTAAGCATTTCATCTCCATAGAGCTTAAGCTTGTTGGGCAGCCTGGATGGGAGGCTTGTGGTAGAACCTCTGCTTTCCCCATTGACACAACTATGGCTACAAGGGAGAAAAGCATTCTCGCGAGTCACACGGCTCAAGAGCAGGAGTTTGTTTTTTATCAAAGATTTAAGTGAACTCTTTATGGAACTCTACACTTCTAGGATCGACGATGGGAGAGAACCCTTCCTCTTGGGCGAAGACAACAACTTATTCTCTTATCCGGTAAAAGAGCCTTCCAGTAGAAGAAATAAAGTAACCTAAGCTCATGTATGGTCTGATATCATGTGTTTTCATTTCTTATGTTCTCGATATGTAGTTTTGCTTTCCCATTGCCAACGTCCATGGAAAAAAAGATGGGTAACATGAGAGATCTAGCAGGCGATATGCTTGCGGTTGTTTAATGGATCTAACGTATTCGCCAATCATGGCTCAGCATGTAAATGCCAAGGTTTTTTTTCGCTGAGAAAAAACCAGCTCTGATTCGTTGGCAAAATTTGACAAAGCTTTTTCTCTTCTTTGAAGACGCTAACTTCTCCACTCCTCTTTCTTCACCAATCAAAACATCAATTCGCATCCATCTGGCAGTCGCCCAGCCATTGCATCAAGTCGGTCCAGATAATCACCGGTCCCCGCGATAAAGATAACGCCTTGAATTGAGGAAAGTACTATCCGGTCTTCAAGGGACCTGCCTCAGAACCAAAAATCATCGAAAAGTCTAAGGGAAGTAGACGAATAAGCTCGCAGTTGCTTCGCGAAACGGAAAATAAGCATCAAATCTCACACTGCCACGTACAATCGCCCTTTCGAACCTTGTTCTGTTTTGAAGAGACTTGAACTATTTCTCCGACCCATTTTTCTTCTGTGTATCGATAGAAGAGGGCCATTTCTGAGGGCAAAATCTTTCCAAGATACAACCATCACCCGCCGCCTCACGACCACGCCGCCGCGCCGAACAGCACCACGCCACGAGCTGACGTGCTAGAGATACTGTTGAACTGCCTACAGGCTTTGCTTCCATTGCTTATGCTTTAATAAAGCCGTCATGATGGCTGAGCCTGCCCAGCCTGAGCTCAGCGCGGCTATGTCCCCGACGGGTGCGTAGAAAGCTCCCCGCCAAACCTTGGACCGGCCAATCTTTGCTTTGCCAAACCAAACATGTAATACTGACTGCAGTGACCGTAGGGATCAAGCAAGAGCCCAGCCATGAGGCTGATATCCTCGAGGGTCTTGATCTTGACCTTGAATCCATCATGCAAGCCGCGACCAAGCGACCGTTTGAAGTCGAGGACCAATCTAACGAAGACGACCCGAACAAACGAGTAAAGACTGAAACCGAACCTGTCCAACAAAACACGCTCGAAATCGACCAAGGTGCCGAAGAGTCGTTAGAAGATGGCCTTGCAATGCTCGTGCAGAATGCGCTTAACAATGCCAACGACTTTATGTTTGACCCAACCACCGATCAAATGGACATTGATGGTATAACCGATCATCCACTTCCACCGCCTCCTCCGCCATCTTCGCCTTCGGTTACGTTCTTTTCCGACCCTCAAAAGTACTTGCGCAAAGTCAGCCGGCATGCGCTGGGTAATATGGTAGGTGGCGCGACTGTAGAGACGCTGCAGCGCTTACATAGCTGGGATAGGCACTTTCCGTTCTCTTGTTATTCTCGCAATCCTTCGACGACTCGATCAAGCCAATTCAAGATGCCGATTCGCAACACGCCAAATCTTTCCGAGATCTTCAGTCATCTTTCGCGCAAATTAAGCAGATCTACTCGTCGGACCCCATCCTATCTGCAGACGAGCCAGACCTTCAAGACCACGAATCCCGTACCATTCTCGATCTAGCGAACCTTGCTCAATTCTGCATTTGGCTATTGCAAACCACGCCGTCATACACCGAAGCTCATCAGCACTTTCACGCGATCTTTCGAGGCCAGGTATCTGATCTTGGATCTGACGCGCTCGATCTGTACCTCTCGCTCAAGACCCAAGTCGCTATTGATGCGCTTGTTTCGAAATCAGCAGAGCAGTCGAACGAGCAAGTGTTGGAAGAGGCTCTGATCAATGGAATGGAAGATAAGCTTCGCAGCCTTCACAATGGGTTCGAACTTACACCTGCCGACTCCGAATTTATCACTTCAGTTCGGTCGAGGAAAACATCGCTTGAAGGAGAGACGTCGACTGAGTCAGGTGGGTATTATTTTTTAGAAAGAGACTGTTCTCCTACTGACAAGTTACAGCGGTCCTGCGAGAAAAATACAAGGTCGATGATCTACTGCGACAGGTTTCAACATGTGTCAAGACTCGACTTGCATTGATGTCTGATCTCGGCTCACGACTAGGCCATCCTATGCGATCGAGTGAGGAAACTGCGGTTGACCTCTTGGGTGACGCCGCTTGTGATGCAACCCTTGACATGGAAGATCTTTCTTCATTCTTTGAAAAGACAACTTCAGGTCTTGTCCAAGACGCCCTGGCTGGCTTGACTGAAGATACCACAACCACCACAAACCCCAACCCCGAGCCAAACCCCGAGCCAACGCCCGCTGTCACTGAAACTATTGAACCGACTCCAACAGCTGAGCCCACCAAGACCCCTGAGAAAGAGGCCTCTTCTACGCCTCAGACGAATGGCAAGCCGGACATGATAACAGACTACAAAGAACTGGAGGCACTGGTAGCTGAGAGCACATCCAACTATGTGAAGACCACATTGCATGGGCTGTCGCCTGTTCCGTACCAACCTACAGTTCCCACGAGCACAAGTAAGCTTTTCAGCCAGAAGTTCTCAAAACCAGAAACTCACCAAAGCACAGCGCAATCGTATTTGAATCAACTTCAACAGCAACAGGCACACAACCCGTATTACACGTCATATACTCAGAGTGTACCCGAACCGTTGCCGCCACCGCCTGAACCGGGGCATAATCTGCCACCGAATCAGACCTGTTCCAGTGCGACACTGTATGACAAAGCTCGTCAAGCTGCTCTTTCTAAAAATTCGTCCCACACGCGGAGAGAAGGCCTTCATTCGACACGCCGACCTTGGACTCAAGATGAAGAGAAGGCACTCATGGCGGGTTTGGATATGGTCAAGGGACCCCATTGGAGCCAAATACTGACATTGTTTGGCCAAAGCGGGACAATATCAGATATACTCAAGGATCGAACCCAAGTACAGCTGAAAGACAAGGCCCGAAACCTGAAATTGTTCTTTCTCAAGACAAATTCGGAGATGCCATATTATCTCCAAGCAGTTACGGGTGAGCTCAAAACGCGAGCCCCTACACAGGCAGCCAGGAAAGAGGCCGAGGAGCGCGCGAGATTGAGTTCGGAGGAGCAGCGTGCAACGCTTAACGGGATCATGACTCTGGCCGGAGGCTTGCAGAACCCAGCGCAGGGACAAGGAAGAGCTGCGGGAACCCCAGTCTCAGCTGTTGGCTCGGGAGTCATGACGCCTGCTCAAGCAGCGAGCGCTGCCCAGGCTGCGTCTTCGCAGCAAGGACAGGCGCATAATCAAGCAACTGCCCACTCATACAACCCAGCTACCTCATCGGGATATCCGCCATCGACGCTGCCGCAATCCAGACCAAGCGTCATGTCCCCGCCTCAGCAGTCGCCTCATCAAGCAGCTCGTCCGCAGTCTTCTCAGATGTCCATGTCTCCTCAAACACCACGGTCGCAGCTGCCCCAGCAAACCCATAGCGCCATGCACTCTCCCGTGCACGCTCAGTCGGCTGCCCAAATGCGTTCCCATACATCGACGCCTGTCGGGCAGCTACATCACTCTCCACCACAACAACACACACCAACTCCTCAACCCGCCGCCCAACACCATACTCAGCCTCACTACGCGCCCGCCCCCAACACTCAGCTCACTTACCCCTCGCCTACGCCTCCAAACGCCACACCGGACATGCATGGGCATGCTCACGTTCCAGTACCGGATGCGCAGATGGACCAACATATGCACGACAATGCCGAGGAGGCGGCTTTGTTGCAAGGCCTTCAGGCTGCGTTGTAATCCTGTTACGCAGAATGCTTGAAAATCTGTCATGAGTGCTGCACCTGTTTTACAGGTAATCTGGTCGAGGGATGTCTCTTCCTTCTCTTTCTGTTGTTCTTTTCTTTTGAAGCTTTGTTATGTCGAATTTGCGATGAATCAGTTTGCCCTATAGCGAGCCAGGGCAACTCATCAGGGTGCACCAAGGCGCAGTTGGCTATGTCGTTTCTGCGCAAAAAAAGTTTTGTTCTTCTATAGATCCGAAACGCCTCGAAGGCTGATTGTAAAAGAGAGATGAGGGGTTGACAAGAAAAACAAAGGGTGGATGGAGCTGAAAGTCTGGCTTGGAATGATACCACGAATAAGGAGCATGTTATGATGGGCATGCATAGGAAATAGCTGGTGATAGATAATGAATCTTATGAACCTGCGACAATTGTATTTCTTATCCTGTGATACTTGACTGCTTACAGAGTAGATCTTCTCCAATGGAGCTCAAACGGACAGGAAGTCCAGTTTACGATACCATGACTATGTTCAGTTGCTTATTCGCGATCTCTCGTAGCTAGACTACAGGTTCGCTCGCCTAGTGACTCGTTACTCCATGCATCTCGCCGTTGTCCTGTAGCGAACGGTGACACAATTTCAACCCAGATAACCCGTGATATCAAAGTTGCACCTGTGAGACGTATCGTTAATGTTTCAACAACAGAGCCGCATGTACACTGAGATATAAACCGCTGCAATGATGGATCTTGAACAACAATCCTATAAGTCACTTATTCATTGCACTAGCAAATGCTGTTCTTACTGATCTTTCGACACAAAGTTAACCTTGAATAGACATGTATTACCCTCAATATCAACGACGACACGGCCATGGAACAACTTGCGCAGCAACGGGGACTATATGCCGTAACCCGACGACCATTCTTAAAATTGAAGACCAGGCAATCCCGTCCCTACACTGCCAGTTCCACGCATGCAGACAAATCGATGGAGGCCGAGCATGCACAATTGCAAAGCTTCCCCGAGCTGTGGTTTGCAGTCAACGTGGGTTGAACACTACACCGTTGACCAATGGAAATGACTAATGCTTGATAAGATGTTCGATGTCAGGCTGTGGATAATGGGATGCGATGTACCTTGGATGCCAGGGATGGCAATACCACAGTGTACAAATACTGTTCACAACTCCGTAAGTGATGTCGAAGATACGATCAGTGCAGGGACTAACAATATTTCTGACCTTTGCGGATTTCCAGAATGCCAGAATCAGAGGCCACAATGGAACGAGCAATACATTATGTTTTGTAACGATCACAAATGCGAACAGGACAACTGTCGTAACCCAAAGGATGTCGGAGTCTTTTGTCGGTCTCACACTTGCGACCACCAATATTGTATGGCCTTCGCTCCTGGTATTGGCATGGAGGACCTCCAACGTTTCTGCGAGCGTCATCGTCAATGCCAAAGGCCCCAATATCCACGCCTCTGCCACACCCGCGATGATGGACAACTTTCACCGTTCTGTGGCGCACATTACTGTCAAGAGCCTGATTGCGAAGATGGCCGTGACGGGGGACTGTTCTGCCCAGTGCACACTTGTGCTGAACCAGGTTGCCTAAAGGGCAGGGAGACTCCCAAAACAGAATACTGCAAGAAACATAGATGCAAGACAAAACACTGCCGGTTAAGGAGTTCGGAGAGTGAGTATTGCCGTTATCATGAGTGTGTGTATGATGGCTGTGGAGCTGAAGTGGTGGAGGGTCGGTTTTGCGAGGGTCACCGACGGCGTATGGGGGCCAACTTTGGGAGAAGGTTATCGTCACAAGGAGTGGGATATACCTTGTATGAGAATGGTGAGTTCTCAGAACCCGTTCCAAGCCAGCTTGAGCTTTTGTTTCAACGCTGACAGGTGGTAGATCTCCCCGATGCATGTCCGGGCATTAGTGACAGAAGAGGATGTGGCCGAAGAGTCGAACAAGGCAGTCGTTTCTGTCAACACCATCTTTGTAGAATTCACAGTTGCCAGGCTCCAAGGACTAGATCATCCGACTTCTGTATTGATCACGGGTGCCTTGCAAAGGGATGCCACCAACCCAGGCAGACAGAGCTCCATGGGATGCTTCGAGGTCTCGCTGAAGGCTTGTTCTGTGAGGAACATGCTTGTCGATATGTTGGATGCCACAACCAGGCTGTTGAGGATTCAGATCAATGCCTAAGGCACGGAGGAGGCCGTAGGCCTAATTTCAGACAAACAGTGGTGGGCCGTGAAGATGAGATGCCATCTCGAGTTCGCCGAGCACATGCAAGAAGCCCAGATGGGTATCGAGATAATGGTGGAGACGGACGTCGAGATGGTCAAAGACAGCTAGGCTGGGCTGAAGCTAGGCATAGAGATCCCTGGGCAGCATGGGGCATGACGATGTGATGCGAATCCGATAATGAGAAAGTGTAAGAGAGATGACTCAATTCAAGCACAAACACTCTCGACCAAGCCACACTTGCGCCATTTGGGGGCCGACTACTAACGTGTTTGAGAGAAGGAGATGGTGTCATTATAAGGCAGATCCGAAGCCATAAACTGAGGTTATTCCCAAAAGACTATACTAGGTGGGGGGACGTCATGTTGAGTGTGGCTTGGAAGGCAGGCAGCCTTGGGGTCGAGCCGAGAATAAAGATAAAGAGCTTGCATTCTGGTTCTGCAAGGGCAACGGCAAGTGCAAGGGGTCCCGTGGTGACGATTCCTCTTTTTGAAGGTGATGGTGTTGAGGAAGGAGGGAGGGAGGCCGCTTGAGCAAGCCATGATGTACCTGTCATGCGGCTAGTGTCAATCATTAGCACTGTATTTTACCTGCAAAAACGACGCGTATATACAGTGTGAAAATACTATAAGCACAGCCTCAGGTCGTTTGACATGACCTAACCCACGCGATGTCCCGCTCCTGGCTCATCAGGGACGAACACCTGCCCATGCACGTCACTCAGCTAAACAGGCAAGGCAATGCACGACACATGGCAACTTCCCTCTTTAATAGGCCCTTCAATTAGTAAAGTAGCATCCCGTCACAAATCTAGTAGCCGTTCCCGCCAGGGTCTTTTTTCCTTTTGCTGATCTTTTCTGAGGCGCTTGAATTGTTTGTACCTGCATAGTAGATAATAAGTTGCTGGCCTATCATTATGAACTTGATCAACAACAAAGAATTATACAAAAAAGCATCAACCACGTAACAGCCATAGCATTATCTATTCTATTCTATTCTTGTAACACTGCTATGTACTTTCCCTCCTTTCTTCCATTCATCATCTCCTACTCTTCTCTTTGTCTGCCTGCTGCTCTAGTAAATGACCACCATCATCAATGAGACACAAACCCATACATCGTGGCCACGCGCCACTCCGAAGACTCAACTATACTATAGTTATTTTCAAACCACACTAAGCTACACCCCAAAGTACCATATCCCTATTACTCTCTTTCCCATTCTGTAATTGTCCTGCCACAAGCTCTCAACTTCCAACCCAAGTCCTACAACCTAGACCTCAACCTAGACCGAGACACTCACTTACACTTTTCCACATCATCTGCTCCTATAAGCCACGATAACCATAGCATGATGCTATTCCATTCTATTTCCGACCCCGCGTGCTGTCAAAGTGGAACATTTCGAGTCCCAGCCTTGGAGAGTGCTTATAAAAGAAGACTATGGCTATGCTGCTTGGACATAATTCCCTTGTTCAAACACTTCTGACCTTCTTTGATCACCTGCATTAGCCAAAAAGTCTCTTTCAAACAGTCATTCTTTATCCGTGAGACCTATTTTCAAGACAATATTCGAGGTCATTCACTGAAACTCGACGCTGTCTTCAAGTTCCGAGTCCTAGACACTTTCTTTATATCTATCGTCGCCTGCCCTTCTCTCCTGTCTAAACCCGAGTCAACTATCCGTCAACACTACCGCAACTCCCGACCAAACCGATCATAAGAAACAACTTACACGAAACTAAACAAGGACTCAAGATCAACTCAACATGTCTCGACGCTGCATCGTTGAGACTAGTCCCGATGGCCGTCCCCAGCTCGTAACCATCAAGCGCTCACGATCCTATCATCACACTCACCGACATCAATGCGACTATTATAAAGTCAGTCGTGAAGAATGGAGAACTCTTATCCGTCAAAACGAGCTCCTCGATGAGGCAAATCAGGCCTACGCAACACAAAATGAAACGCTTCGATCAAGACTTCATGCCTCCGAAGCCGAGACTCATCGTCTCTGCCACGTCGTCATACCTTCTCTCAACGACCAAGTCGCCAAGCTTTCACGCGAGATTGAATGTCTTCGTCGCGCCGCAGAAAAACCTTGCGATCCTCCCGTCCACACGCTTCCCATACCAACTCACCATCATCATGAGCTGGAGCGTCTGCGAAGCAAGGTGTGCAAGCTTGAGAAGGAGAACAAGACTCTCAGAGACGACAACGGTGATCTTCGCTTCAGACTTCGTGAGCTGTCTAAGCAAATCGACCAAAGCCTTAGTCGCCGGGTCGCAGACTTGACTAAACAGATTGAATACTGGACTTGCCAATCTGGATTTTGGAAGAAGAAATACGATGAATTACGGGAGCGCCATTTGGGTCTGATCACAATTGTCGAGTCCAAGACGGAGAAGACAGAGTACTACGATGACGTACTGAAGCGACGGCGCGTCTGTTAATCTTTGAGCTTGATCTTTTTATTAGCTTTTAAGTTTTTGTTGAGCTGGGTAGCGCATGGCATTATGGATAGAACAATGAACAAGGCTCAGGCGAAATTCTTTCTCGGTCTTTGTCTATACAGCCACCATCTGGCATTATTCCTTTACACCAAGCCTTTCTTTCAGAATAAATCTCCTCTTTGTCTTCAAGGTGAGAAGGATCTGCCTACAACGTTTTACATTGGGTCACTAATGAAACATAGTTTGTGATACCCTTCAATGCGTCAAGGTTGCATCCCAAGTGCCACCTGAGGCATTGCGATATAATCTATGCCACTGTACTATTGTCTTATGCGAGTTCGGGGGTTAAGTCAAGGCGCAAGAATATGCTGGGGGAAACTTAGTAGCACGTATTGGTATTCGATGTGGTCGAGCAGAATGATCCTCCCACTTACCCATAGCCCTCTCCATAGATATATCAAGAAAATGTTATAAAACAATAGTTTGGCCTACAGCCCCGTGCCAATAGCAAAAATATATGGACTATCGTGTGACGTATGTCCTTATCGCAACCACCAGGAAAGAAGGGTCATGTGTGTATATATGATTGACACTGAGGTGGTATTCAGAAGTAAGATGTCTCGAAATACGATGACGACCACTTTGAACACCATAAAACGCAACCAGTGCAAACAACTTTAGAAAAGATATCGAAAATTTACAGCAAACTTGTGTTCGCGTTTCGAGCTTTGGAACTTTGAGGAACGATATGGATCCTGCTTATCTGAACACTGGCATGCAAAGTGGCATGGTGGCAGTGCACTTGAGCCGCAGTTATCTCATGCTTTGTAATTAGTCCTGTCCAGGTCTGCAAATGCATACGGGTGCCTTGCGGTTCCCAGGCGAACCATCACAAAGGCCATAAGTTATTGACAAGAGCGGAGTTCAACGCGATGCAACACGATGTCCCGTGGTATCGCGCATCTTTACCCGAAACTCGTGGGGTATAGTCTAGGTATTCAAGATGTCGACGCCGTGAGAAGGAGGGGCGACGAGGCATCCAAGGAGGAGGGACACTGACTGAATGACCAATGGAGGCGGCTTCGAAACTGGAAAAAGGCGCAAGGCCTTGAGAGAAAAGGTCCTATTCTAGGCAGAAGGGGGCTTTGGAGCAATAAGGATTGGCCGCCTGGTTTAAGTGGGCAAAGACGACAAGGATGTAGACTATGGGGGCCGGCGATGAATGTGTGGAACTGGTGGAGGAGTCATGTTTGAGAACACGACTGCAGATGGCAGTGCCTTGATCCGTGAGGGAACCATCAAAAGCATGAGGGTGTGGAAGCAAAGTTAGAATGGTAGACTACCGAGCTAAGATCAGTGTTTGAGGGACCTTTTAAGGGTGTGGAGTGGACGGGAGGGAGCCGTAGTGGTGGTATCGTGACGGAAGTGGATGAGAATGGACATGACATAAAAGCTGCCAAGAGGTGTGAGTCTGGAAGCGGGTGACCATTGCGAAGAGGTTGCAAGGCCCGGGGTCAAGGCTGCCTGGGATATTCAGTAAGGTAAGGTATTCTCACATGACCGTGCTAACAAGTATTGTCTTTTTTGACTCACATGGAGGGCCTCAGAAAAGTTCAACGCGCTTATTGAAACAGGCTGTGTATGTAAATAGCGGTAGGTTGATCAATGAGATGGGAGAAATGCCATTTCATCAGTTGAAGGTTGCGTGTCAAAAAAGGTCTATAATAAGATTTGATGCGTTTTGACAAAGTAATGTATTGCCAGCGGGTAGATCCGCAGTTTAGTTGGCACCGCACCACGGTACCCGTAGCGAGGAATTAACGTTAACGTTTACTTTCCACGTTGGGAAATACTATAGAATGTCATCGGCCGTGGTATTCCCGCGAGTAATTTAGCGACCGTTGGGGCCAACCGTGGAGGGTGGGTGGAGGCGGGAGCGTCCCGTTACCCATGGCGCCGGGATGGTACGTACTGGGTTGGGGTTGGGGCTCAAGACCTCTGGTGTCGGTACACACAAACTCCATTCTAAAATTGATCAATAACGAGTCAAAATCAGGGGGTGGCAGACCGAGACGCACGCAATAAAGTACGAGCTGGGGCTGGAAACGTGGTGACTGGGGCCATCTTGGCACGGAATGCGGGAATGCAAGGAGAACGATGATAATGACGGAGCTCATCCCTTCCTAACCCACAACAACTCAATCAATCAAGCATTGAAATGCCAGCAGAAACCCAGCTAGCCCGAGGCCACCTCATGAGCCGGTAAGGAAGGGGGGCAGTCGATGAGTCTAACGACCCAGCCCCAGTAGAACATCAAACACTTCATTCCGGCCGAGTCAGAATTTTCTAAAATGCCCCGATTTTGTTTGACAAGCGGGAAGGGAAGGAAGCCCAAGCGTTTAGGTTATAAACCCCCAGAAGCGGGAGGCCCTCCCGGCGGATAAGCCCCCGGGTCCGGGTCCAGGCGACCGGCGATGGGCGGGCTCATGGAGTGCTGGGGCATGGATCTTGACTTGAATTTGAGCTTTCTCTCCACAAAGAAACCCATTCCAATTTGGGCGATGTCTTCCACGATTATGGTCAAGCAAAACCAGTTCAATAGATGGTGTTGCAATGACAATCGTTTACACCACCTACGAGGCGCATGATATCTTATAAGATGCAGCAGCATACATCATAGGCGATCAACAGAAGTCATGCTGCCACTCATCTGCTCCCGTATGCAAGAAAGACGAGCAGAAAGGTTGGAGAATCAGAGACAGCCAGTCAAAGGGTTTCACACACCAACAACAGAAGTCCTGATTAAGGACAGCACATAGCGGGCGGGTTGAAGGTGCATGCTCACATCTGCGCAGTTGCGCAACTGCGAAATAAAACTTTCTAATGTGCCGAATAACTCGCATTGATGACAAGGGTGAAGGCGCAAAAGGAACCAACGATACGGCGAAACTCCCATAAACTGAATCCTTCTTCCCGCCAACCCGATGGGTCACTCTCCTAAAGCCTCCGTCCAAAACGGACTCTTCTAGGTGATTTGTGGGCGGCGGCGGCGCTTCAGGGGCGGCGTAAGAATTAACTTGGTCGCTCAGATGGCGGTGTCCGCACCGGTGACAATACTTAGCCACGAGGCGGCATGAAGCGGAGTCAGCCAGCAAACGGTCAACAACGCGCCTTTTTCTTCCGACTCTGAGATGAGCATTGGGGTTGGCGAACCGTTTGCGCAAAAGTCAAGGATATTGAATCACATTTCTCCCTCTTCTTTGAAGGAGGGTAGGTTGCGGGACAAAGTGCAACATGTTCGTGGATATCATGACAATCCACGGATCCAAACTGGCTGTTTGCCGAACCCCTGTCTGTCATCTGGGGTGTCGAGAAGGTGACTGGGGGTGGCTTTTACCGATGCTGAGGGTGTTAGCAACGCTTGTCCTAAGCCCTCTCGCATCTTTCGCATTGCTTTTCCCTTTGTAATAACCGTGTTTCCTTCTGCTTTGGCTAGGTTACGGCGTAGCACAGCCTTAGCATAGGCAATATCGTGCCCCTTTTGCGGAAGCTGAGGGATTGAGGAATTATCGCTCAGACAAAGAACCCGGGGTGTTGTGCGTAGTGAGAACAGAGCGCAAAAAGACCAGGAGCCGAACCGGCAAAGAAATATCAAGACCCCGGCTTTGACAGGGGTTTAACGTTTGGAGGTGTGGGCAAAGTGGGCATTGGGCTCTGGTCGACTCCCCTTGGGCACTGAACTTCAGTTTCGGTCCCTGATGTTGGCGTCACAACGCTTTTGGTCCTCGACTTTGCGCATACCGCACTGGCGGGTTTAATGTGCTTGAGAAGGGATCCAAGGATGCCGGAAAGCGCAAATGCGAGTCTGAGTGTGTGCGCACTGCATCAGGCCCAGTTTCTATTTTACCATGTCTCTAATGTTCCAATCACGAGGTTGCAAAAAAGAGTTCGGCTTCACTCCCTCACACCCTCAACTCCCTTTAATTCTGTCGGTTCGAGTAGGGGCTGATGCAGCTCTGCGCTGAAGTTTGTGATGGAAGAGGAAGAGGCAGAGGACCTTTCTCTTTCAGACCTGGGGTGTGCGTGCGAAAGTGTGTGTACAGTATCCGTCTGTAGGTAGGTAGGGAAGCTGCTTCCTGTGCATCCGTCTCTCTCCGCGTTTGCGTGCACCGTAATGTACCGACTCTGCATTAACGTACAGAATCGTGCTATTCTGTATAGGACATGTCGCGAACGGATAACTTTCCATCTGCATTTTGTCGTCATTTGTCCGTCTTGAGCGTAAAGCAGAGAGGGACTGTGTGTGTAAGACGGTAAGGTAGTGGAGGTTGGAATAGTACAGCCTCGAGGCAGGTACGAGGCATATTCCTATTTCCTACGTAGCAGTCAGCCATCGTGTCTTTTGGAAGGAGCACCTCGTTCAACTCAATTTCCTTCCATAACTGTCCCCTGCCTAGAGGTACGGACGTTTACCTGCCTTGCTTTGTTTTAGGCCTGGCCCTTTCCTTCCATCCATTATTGCGCCCCCCCTTCTCAATAGCCCACCCCCCATTCCAGGCATTCCAGACACCTCAGACATGGGCTGGCCTGGAGTGTAGGCAGACAGGCCTTTCTTTTTTCTTAATTTTCCCTCCCACACCGAGTTTGACAAAACCCATATCAACCCGAATATTCTACTTTTTCCCTCGTCTGCCTACACCTCAACTTACCTCCCTTTTTATCACACACACAGGTTTATTTCGACCTGAATCCTCCGATACTTTTATCGTGCTCTATTTCTGTTCTGTATTGCCTTGTTTTACTTGTTTGTAAAGCAATACTTAACAACCGTCTAACTTTGAGTTTATAATAAACTCACCGTCAACTCTCTAACCGACGTCACTTTTTTTTTTCGCCTTTGTGGCCCCTCAGCTTTCCGCTCCCGCTCCCGCTACAACCCTCCAGTAGAGTGCTGTCCGCCAAAACCGCCCGCGCTCTTCTATCCGCCTGCCAGACCATTTACACCGCTGGTCGTTGGGCAGAGCTGCACCGCAGCGAAACAAAGTTAACACCGAAAGATCACCAAGAAACACAGCATCGAGACGACTTTGGAGTCGTTTTCTTCCTCTTCTCCATTTTCTCTTTTTGTTGTGTAGGCGATCGTAAATAATCTAAACCGACGCCATGCCTCTGCACCAGCGCACCTCTGCTAGCCCTACCAAGAGGAGCAGCTCCTCGGTCAGGAGCTCATCCTCAGCCAGAAGCACTACCTCTTCATCCTCCTCTACTACTAATAAGTCAAGGGCCTTGACTGGTACGTTCAATGGCCGCCACTTGATATCCTCGTTCCCATTGACTAACGTGAAACTTTCTTGTATAGTTCAAGACCATGACTACGAATATGAATTCGATATGGAATCCGAGCTGCGCGACGATCTCCAGAAGGCAAACACAGAACTCAACAAGGCCAACGCCGAAAACGATAAGCTCAGCTCCCAGAACGACAAGCTCAAGGCCACCATCGAGCAGCTTACCCGCAAACTGAATGAGTCAAAGACATCTCTCGAGGAAACCACCCGCAAGCTTAATGAGTCCACCGTTTCATGCCGTGAGCTCAAGGCCCAAGTTGAGGGCGCCCGATCCGAGGCCGATGTCCTCCGGGAAGACAACCGTCGTCTCAACACCGACTTCGAAGAGCTCAAGGGTGACAAGCGCCGCCTGAACAGCGAGTGTGATGAGCTTAGGGAGGAGAAGGAGACTCTTGAGAAGGAGAATGAGCGTGTCAAGTTTGAGCACCATGACCTCGAACAACGCTTCATTGGCCTCCAGGCTAAGCATGAGAACCTCACCATGCGCCACAACGCTGTGAGTAGCCAGGCTGGCTCGTCTGCCATGACAAGCCCCATGACAAGCCCTATGCCCAGCCCTCTTCCTGCTCCTCTCCCCGAGGCTCGCAAGAACCCTTCTCGTCCTTCTAGCAAGGCCTCAAGCAAGGCTTCTAGCAAGGTTTCCACCAAGTCTGTAAGCAAGCGGGAACCTCGCGAGGACCGCCACCGTGAACAAGAGGACCGCCACCAGTCCGAACGGGAGGAGAACACTCGCGAAGAGCACACTCGTGAGCGTCGACACCGAGAGGATCGCGAACGTCGCAACCACGATCGCGAGGATCGAGGACGCCAGCGCAGCGAGAAGCCCAAAGACAAGGACAGATTTGAGGCCAAGGAACGCTTGTCGAAGCGGTTTGATGAGCGACCCTCTGCGGCGCCTCGCCAGACCAGCTTCATCGAGCCATGGGGTCCCGGAGGTTGGTCTCCTCGTTATGAACCCCCCCCAAGCGACTTTGACGCTTACGGCCATTTGGCAACAGGACGCAAGGCCGCCAGTGTTGTGTCTAGCGGGGCGTACTCCAACGTCCCACGCACGACCAGCATTGTCAATGGTCACTTCAGCAGCGACAGCAGCGCATACGACGATGAGCGGTATGAGGATGGTTCTTACCACCCCTACCCCATCCCTAACTAATTCTTCTGATCTTGTTTGATCTGCCGCCTTGATAGTATGCCAGTTCTTTAGGCCTGGTAATACTCAAAGGACGGAGCACAGGTCAAAGCAAGATGCTCATGGGGACCTCATTTTGGCTCACATGAACACACACACTTCCTTCTTGAGACATTCTTAAGGAGTAAGATTTCAGTAGGTAGGGCTTTGCATAAAGCTCCACCTCGTATCTCTACCACTTGTTCCCGATGATCGACTCGGGCCAGGCCACCTTCCTATTATGACTCAATTCCAAGTGAGGTATCGCTTTCAGGCTTAGTCTAACTATCACCATACCCCCGCATGGATTGGTTTACCGACACCGGCCGAGATATTTAAACCCTACAGGGTCAGCAATCTCACTCGCAGCATTCCAACCTAGACTTACATTGTTTTTTTCTTGTTGGTTTTTGCAGCAATACTCAGATCCCAATCGAGTTGATTGGGACCTCTGCTTTTCCTATCATACGTTTACATCATCGCCATGAAGCTCTACCCTTCCATTTCCGAGGACCTGGCCGCCTGGGTCCAGCAACAGCCTGTCTTCTTCACAGGCTCAGCTCCTACCCATGGCTCTCATATCAACGTCTCTCCCAAAGGCCTTACAGATTCGCACTTTGCCATTCTAGGCCCCAACCAATGTGCCTATATCGACCGCACTGGTTCCGGATGTGAGACTATTGCCCATTCATACGATAACGGCCGCCTTTGTTTGATGTTTATGAGTTTCGGTCCCGCACCCCGGATTGTACGTTTCTTCTGTCGGTCCAAGATTATTGAGTGGGATGACCCAGCCTTCCCCGATTTGGTCCGACGTATCTCCAAGGGAAAGCGATCTACATTTGACGGCGCAAGAGCCGTCATTGTGGCAGATGTGTTTGAAGCCCAGACAAGCTGCGGCTTTGGTGTTCCCCGGGTGAAGAGGGGTATCTATGCACCTGATGAGACCTCAAAGGACTTGTCCCTCGATCAAGTCCTCCAGGAGGGTGTGGATGGTAAAGTGAATGAACTGTCTATGTTTGAGGAGCGGCCCACCATGGACATGTGGGTGGGAAAGCAAGTTGAAAATAATACGTTGTTGGATTATCATAAGGAAACCAACGTGCTGAGCATGGACGGTTTGCCTGGGCTCAGAGCTGCTCGTCGGAGCGTGGGAGAGACGTTGTGGATTACAGACGCAAAAGCACATGCCAGGAAGGTTTTTGCTCAAAGCGAAGCGATTGCAGTTGGATTTGTTCTAGCATTGTTGTTGTACGTTGTCATGGTTTTTATGGGAGCGATTTCAGCGGCATAGCCAAAATTCTGGCTTGAAGGATTATAGGGACGGCGCAATCTTGGGTTTTGGATACCAAAAAGTACAGTGTTGTTTGGATTTCAAAAGGATGTTCCCCCAAAAGGGATTGGATTTCTTTCTTATTGTTATCATCTCTTCTCTTAACCTTTTCTTTTCTTGTTACGATACACATTTTTGTTTTGCAGATAGATATGTACCACGTTTACTACGGGATGCAGGTCCAACAGCCTGCGTAGGAACGATACCCCCATGTTAGGATAGCCATTAGTATTAGCAGCGATAGAGTTTCTGTTTTGAATATTATGTTGAGGAACTTATCGATCCCTTATTGCGTCTAATACAGTTTCCGTGCTTTACTTCGTGAGATCTTGGATGATTCGTGTTCAACCAACATTTGTCTTCAGAACTGAAAGCCGCAACTATCGTGCGTACGTGTCCTGAATATGCTTAACTCCATGTACTGTATCCTGGATGAGTAGACTAGTATTCGAATAGAAGGCCAGCTGGAAGACCAGTCACTGGTTCCTAACAATTGTTCATATTCGTTCTTCTGCCACAAGACCTACAAACAAACACTGTCAATCAGCAAATTCAGTCGCACTGCATGTGAACGGCAAGATCATATTGCAATGTCTCGATTCTAATCCTAGCATAATCTTGGCATGATCATCTCTCCTTATGACCAGATTCACTGTCGCTTCCTCAGTCGCTTTCATCCAACAGAGCTATTGTCTACAAAAGATCGACTCTGTTGGAATTCCTGGTAGAGATGTTTGCTGTTAAGTACGCTGCTGTGGCAAAGGCATAAAGACCATAGCTCGGTCATTCTCTTATCTGCCTTCGACATGGTCGCTCTTGAGAATTCAGCTTCCTGGCTCGACTTGCCCATCAGTATCGTGAGCTAGACCTATAGAGCAGCTGAGTTAGACGTTGGGTGGGGCGCAACCGGCATGCCAGGCTGCTTGCTAGAGTAGCGGGATGTTCGAGGACAATCCTCAACATACATTGCCTTCAGCCGCCGCCGTTCGCTGTTGCGGGAGTGGAAGTGGTGACGGCAGTAGCGCCCTGGTTGTTGGCACCAGAGTCCTTTGACTTGTTGCCTCCACCTCCACCTCGTCCACGTCTACCTCTACCAGACGGCTTCTCCGGCGCAGAAGTCCCAGCAGTTGGTGCTGTCGTGGGCACAGCCGAGTTTGCGTTTGCAGGCTTTTTATCCTTGCGCTCTAGAACTTGAACAGTGCCCTGTGCAACGGTGATAGGACTTGCTGTAACAGCCTTTACAAGACCGTCATGCTCAGCAAAGTCAACATAGGCAAATCCCTTACGTTTGTCGATCTCAACAAATGTAATCGTTCCGAATGTTGACAGTGTCTGCTTGAGCAGTGCTTCAGTGACTCCCTGGGAAGGATTGGCATGCTTGACAAAGCCACGAGTAGCATCAGGAGAGACAGTAGGAGGCTTCTTTTGCGCGTTAGCTCCCTTGTTAGAAGCGCCTTTAGAGCTACTAGCTGTATTGTCGGTCTTCGATCTGCCTCCTTGTGTGGGCGTCGGCTGAGGCGTGCTGCTTGCTGGTTTCGTTGACGGACCGGACTCGACTTCATTACCCTTCTTCTTAAGGAGAACAATGGGGGGATTAAGGGCCACTTGGTTTTGGCCTGAAGCTCCCCCCTTGTTCTTCTCCTTGTCCCTGGTGTTCTCTTTCTCCGCCTCCTTCTCCTTGTTCTTATCTGCGTTCTTACCACCACGCGTTCTACGGTTTGATTGCTGCTGTTGTTTTGAGTTTCCGGCGGCGCCTCTGCCCTTTGCAACTGGGGCCTCAGTCTCAATCGCTTTGGCTGGTGAAGCTGGGCGTTCTGAAGTACTAGCTTTGGCATCTGCGGGGCCTGCATTTTCCTTGTCTGGTGTCGTCTTCGCATCTGCATCTGCTTTCGCGGCGTCTTGACGTGCTTTCCTGTGCGCACTTCCGGGGCTCAGGCCAAGATCTCGTTGAAATATCCTAGCGGCCGCCATAATTCCGGCACGTCGACTTTTAGGTGCCGCCTCCTGAGCGCTGGCATCGCTGGCTTGACTTTTAGGGTTGGCTCTAGACCCCTCCGCGTTCTGTTCGGCGGCAGCTTTCTTGGTGAGAATCTTGACAGTCTCCTTGGGTGTTTTATCTGCCTTCTCTGCTTTGGAGTCTCTGCCCTTCTTCTTACCGGAGTCATCCTCCTTGGACGAGCTCTTGCCTTTCCCACTTCTCGAATCCCCTTGTCCATGCTTTGAGCTCTTAGAAGACGGACCGTCCTTGGCCTTGTTTGCTTTCTTCTCCTTAAGAAACTCGATAAGTGGCGTGGTCGTGACTTTGGCTTCCGTCTTTCCGAGGTCATCGCCCTCTTCCCCTTCCAAGGTTTCTTTCGGTGGTGCTGGATTCGTCTGTTCCTCCAAAAAGGCCATAAACTCGGGGTCCTGATCGATTGTTCCTTGACGTGCGTCGGTCCGTTTTTTATTGCTTGGAACCTTTTTGTAAATAGCAAACTCGACAGCGGGTGGGCCGATCAGAGATGGGTTATTGAAGGACGCTTTTGCATCTTCCCAAACAGCATTTCGGACTGCCTCACTCAGGGGCAAGATATCATCCTTTCTCAACACATGAACATATGCGCGACCTGGTCGCGAAGGTTTTGAGGGGCTTTGCGATGTGTTAGCATCAGGTTTTGTGCAAGACTATGGGCAACATACTCGGTAGAGATTTTTCCTTGGGCGAACTCGAACCAGTCAACTTTTCCCTTGCCCAACTCCCACTCATTACCAAGAATGGATACAAATTCTGCCTCTGTCATTCCAGGAGGCAACCGACGTATTACCAGTTTCTCGCCCTCATTATGAGCTTTAGTCTTGGTGGGCTTCGGAGTCTCGCCTTCATTCGCGGGCTTTGTTTATGGTCAGTCTGAGTCTCATCATTTCTTGGAGTGATGTCACCTTGCTCGCCTCTGTAGATCTCGCATTAGAACCTCTACCTCTGGCCTTTCCATTAGAACTGTTCTCTTGCGGTCCCTTCCCCTGAGAGAGGTTAGATATGGCCAGTTCACTTATTCATTGACTGACTCAAGGATAACAACATACCTTTGATGATTCCGAATTCTGATTAGCTGACGCTTGGGATCCCCCATTTGCCCGCCGAGACAGGACTTGCGGTGTTTGAGATGACATCTTGCATACCGCAAATACCTAATCAATGTTCGTATCGTAGGGTGAGTTGATACCCCGAAAAGACGAGTGAGTGAGTAATAGTAAGTGTATGCTGTGAGGCTCGATGAGTCGCGGCCTTAGTGCCCCGCCAGTATCTGTGGGGCGGTGCCCTTGTCCTTGTTCCTGTTCTTATAAAGATGAGATATGCGATTATCCACCAAGAAAAAGCTTCTTCAAATGATGAGCCTATTAGACAAGCACAAATTGATAGACTTTAAGCAAGTCCGGGTCGGAAGAAAATTATGTTTATGGGGAGATACTGAAGTACCTAAGCTACATTGGCACAAAGAATCAGAATCAGAATCAGTGATTTTAGATTGATACCTCTTTCTCTAACTTTCAGGGCCGAAGAATTCCCGGGCAGTGTTTCACTATCGCACCCCTCCATCCTGCCATCCAAGAAGGCCCAAATTCAAGCCCCACCCCCATTCGCCGCATATGTACTGTACCAGTACCAGTACCACTACTACCTGCCTACCAACCTCTACCACTTGACCTACTGTACCATCATTTCGCAATACAGCCAGCGCTGGGCTGATAGATCCTTCCCCCCGCTGCCATCACCTTCCTTCGCCTTTCGACTGGGCATGCTTGATCATGGCTTCAAGCGTACCTCGACCGGGCCCTGCCAACTTGGGGCCCAATGCTGGTCTTGATGAGTGGCTCGAGGAGGCCAAGCAGTGCCACTACCTGCCCGAGCGGGTTATGAAGGAATTGTGCGAGAAGGTCAAGGAGATATTGATGGAAGGTGAAGACCGCCAGACTCGAGCTCGCCGCTGACCTGCAGCTTTTGCTGACTTGGTATTTCCAGAATCCAATATCCAGCCAGTCTGTACCCCCGTTACTGTTTGCGGCGATATCCACGGTCAATTCTACGATCTTCTCGAGCTCTTCCGGGTATCTGGCGGTATGCCGGGCGAGTCCAACGTGCAGGCGCCGAAGACCTCAACCACCGTCATTACCTCGGACGATATCGAGCCACCAACAGAGATTACAAACCCCAAGTTGAGGAAGAAGATAAAATCTTCTGGCGAGAATGCAACGTCGAGTGGCGCGGAGGAGGTTGAAGCAGGCGACGCTGACGAGGATCCCGATGCGACAATGGCCGATCGTCTAGACTCTGGCGTCACGGTCAACTCGTCAAGTCAAAGTGCCGATACTCGATATATTTTCCTGGGAGATTTCGTGGATCGAGGATACTTCAGTCTGGAAACTTTCACATTACTAATGTGTCTGAAAGCGAAGTAAGCACTCCTTGGTGCCATTCGCGTTCCATAGCTAACCACAGTCCACAGGTACCCTGACAGAATAGTGCTCGTTCGAGGTAACCACGAATCCCGGCAGATCACCCAGGTGTACGGATTCTATGAAGAGTGCCAGATGAAGTATGGTAATGCCTCGGTCTGGAAGGCCTGCTGTCATGTATTCGATTTCCTGGTCCTTGCCGCCATCATCGATGGCGAGATTCTCTGTGTACACGGAGGCTTGAGTCCAGAGATTAGGACGATCGATCAGATCCGAGTTGTTGCCCGTGCGCAAGAAATTCCCCACGAAGGTGCATTCTGCGATTTGGTGTGGTCGGATCCAGAAGACGTCGAAACATGGGCTATCAGTCCTCGTGGAGCTGGATGGTTGTTTGGAGACAAGGTTGCAACTGAGTTCAACCATGTAAACGGGTTGAAGTTGATTGCTCGAGCTCATCAGCTCGTCAACGAGGGTTACAAGGTATTTAGCGACTTCTCCGACTTGACAAGGGTTACACTAACGATCACCAGTATCATTTCCCCGAGAACTCGGTAGTGACTGTTTGGTCGGCACCCAACTACTGCTACCGTTGCGGTAATGTCGCTTCTATCATGGCTGTAGACAAGGATTTGAACCCCAAGTTCAGTATCTTTTCTGCTGTTCCTGATGATCAGAGACATGTCCCAGCACTCAAGAGGGGTCCCGGTGACTACTTCTTGTGATGAAGGATGGTAAACGCATAACGGACTTAATGGCATAAGTTGCATGTAGAATAGCATAGGGTCAAAATACCCATGATCTTGAGGTGAATTTAGTGGGAATTGGAATGGATACTCACGGTTTCGGTAGAGTTGTTATAACAATTACGATCAATATGAATGCTGGTTTCAATGCATGTATCTACCAGTTCTGATATTTTAGTTCTATTGCGACTCGGTTTTCAGACGTGAGAACCAAGATACAATTACCTGCGTCGAATTGAGAACAGGTGCGCTATTGTATTGACTTTTGCCTCTTATACCACTCATGGCTGGGTTTTACTTTCAGCCTTATCGTAGTATCCTGCCTGCCCATGTTCACCAAACCTCTCGCTCGACTCGGTGGATTAGTCGAAAACTCCACCTCCACCTGCCATCGCCATGCCAAAAGGAAAATCCCCCAAAGCGAATCCCATCCACAATGCCATCAATGAGTGGCTTGAGTCAATCACGACTGATATCTCAGGGCCTGATTCGACATGGAGGACCGACCTGTTGAACAGCGCGCCGAAGCGCTTCACGGTCTATGAGCCTATGGCGCTTTTACCCACAGGAAGCTTCACATCTTTACCTTGGACAACTCTCTTACACAATGCTGGCGAAAACGCATGCCAGCAACTTTGGTCCGGAGTATTGAAACAGATTTCATCGCAGGGGAAAGAAAATCTGACTCATCTTGCTGTGAACGAGGGCATTCCTTTGCACAAAACGGAAGAAGAGGAGGATGAAAACGTACGAAGAAGCCCAAGTGGGTTGCGCACTTTGTATGGAGATTTCGGCCCTCAAGACGCTTCAGCAGAAGAACCTTCGCAGGATGATTTTGATAAGACACTATGGGTTTCGACGAAACAGAATGGAATATTCCAAACTTGGGCACCAAGATGGACCATGTTCAGCCGGGGAAATGTCAAAGAGAAGGCAAGACTGCTGGACATGGGAGATAAGACGCTCCAAGGCACATGGGCAGTTGATCTCTACGCAGGCATTGGATATTTCGTCTTCTCGTATGCTCGCCTCGGCATGAGAGTGCTAGGATGGGAGATCAACCCATGGAGTGTGGAAGGGTTACGGCGCGGCGCTGTGGCAAATCGATGGAGCGTACGGATTGTCCAAGGCGAAGACTTGACTCTACCAACAGAGGAAATTGTCAAAGGAGGGGAGCAGATCATCGTGTTTCTTGAAAGCAACGAAGAGGCCATCAAAAGACTACAGCCATTGCAGGACAGTGGTATTGCGCAAGATGTACGGCACATCAACTGCGGTTTTCTTCCCACAAGTGAACCAACTTGGAGAAATACGTGGGATATTTCTGCTCCCGCGGGCGAGACATGGCTGCACCTCCACGAAAACGTCGGGGCCAGCGACACAGAAACAAGGCGCAAGGAGATCCAGAGCAGATTCAATGGCTGGAGTCAAGGGACAGATCGAGCAGCCAAAGTCGACCATATTGAACAGGTCAAGACATTTGCACCTGGCGTTTGGCACTGCGTCTTTGACGTTCATGTTTACAAAAACTAGGCATATCATGCTTATTATCCCAATATTAAACTTCAATACATATATTTTTATCCATCATGATGTCATATAGCATTATCGCACCCGAGTTCCTGCCCCAGTCATGGTATTCTATGTAAATAACAGTCCAGCTTCATCATATATCATCTATTGTCGTCGGAACTTTTGAGGAATGTTGGCCTCGACAATGGAGAGCTTCTGCATAGCCTCGAGGCGGTCTTGGGCATCCTCCATCTCGTCATGCTTCTTAAAGTGCTCGATATCCTCAGGATGCGTCAAGTCCTCGAGCTTAGTGTTGTCGTCGTGGTACTTCTCCCAATGATGGATTTCGTACTCGTACTCATCGTCGCCGTGGTGTCCAGGGCCAGTGTTCAAGTCGGGCAGGGTCTTGCCTGTGCTGATGAAATCCATCCATTCCTTGCGACTGACCGAGGAGTCGGAGTCCTTGTCGAGGAGGCCCAGTAAGATATCGCGAACCTCATCCTTTCGCTTTTCGGACATGCCCTTGTTTGACTCGTCGAAAAGGCCGTATGTTCGCATGACCTCGGCAGCTTGCCACCAGCCATCGCCGTTGTAGTCGTGGAGGGTGAAAAAGGAGTCGGCATCCCAGCCCTGCACATGATGCTCCTCTGTAAGGAATTGGGTTAGCATATGGAGGTATTAGGAAGGGGAAAGAATAACATACCGGCCATGTGTTTGGTCATCCAGTCGGCATTGGGGTCGACAATGGGTTTCTGGGAGTGGCCAAACACTGTGGTCGCAAAAGCGACGCTGAGGAAGAGACCGGTGCGCATTATGTTGAATACCTGGAGCGAGTAATGTGGAAGAAGAGCAGAAACTTTGAGCTTGCGCGATGCAGGTCTCAAAAGACAATTGGAGATTGGACAAGTCGGACTTGATAAAGGAGTGAGGTTCAATGGACACCTCCAAGTGAACGTGGCCTGGCAGCTCTGGATTTGAAGGCTGTCAGGGGTCTTGAGCCGCTAGAACAGAACCGCTAAAGATGGACAGGGCCGGGCACCTAAACCAGTATTGTTAGGTGGTTCTTTAGCAGCCCTCAACTGCTGGCCGAGCATCATTTTGTGGCCGTCCATGGTATGCAGGTCCGAACTCAAAAAGCTTCTACAACGAGCCTCGAACAGGGACAGTTCTCTCTACAGTCTTGCATAGCACGTCCCTACTCTACGCTTTATCTTGTGATTTTCTCCAAATTCCCACAGAGTCACCTCCGTTCCCTGTCTTACCAAGGCGATCGACAGTACTATCAATTGGCGGGGTGATGATTTAAGCTACAGTACCTATTCAACGTCTCGTGACCAGGCGTCACAATTCGTTGCTACGTAACGCGTCGACTGCTTGACCGCGTTCTCAACTTCCATAATTGGTCCAACCACTCATAAGCTACTTCGAGTCTCACCGCAATAAGAAGTTAAAGTCGAAATCATGAGTCGTCAAATTGAACAGGCATTGCTTTCTTTAATGCCAACATATGGCTCTGATTTACCGTCATCTCTTGTAGAACTTGCAGGTTCTTTGCTCGCTCAGTCTCGGCATCGAGCAAGTACTCTCAAGACAGAGGAAGAGATCGCCAGGACATATGCTTGCGCAAACATTGCATGCGATCGGTGTGTTGTCTCTATGATATATCCGAGTTTTGCAAGCTTACAAGAGTACCTAGTCTAAAGATTACCCTTGACCTTCCACCCATCGAGCCCCGACCGCCGATTCCACCCCGTATTTACAACCGTCTCTACACTCATCTTGATAACATTCTGCCAAATGGTGCCTCAACCCCTGGTAGAACTACCACAGGAAGAAGGACACCAGGCTCAAGGTTCCGCGACGCTATTAACTCACCTGCCGATGGATCACGGCCACTGCCTTCAAGAGGAACACCCACAAAGGAACAAAGTCTTGCACCATTTAGAACGCCTTCAAAAGGGGCAAGCGGAACACCGACCAAATCCACAGCTAAGAAACAAGCCTTCAGAGGCGACAATCTTCACCCATGGATTCAACCCGTGACGAGATGGTTGTGCGAAGAAACAGACCACAAGAAACTCGCTCCTACGATTCTTGCTGGCATGGAGAGTATAGTCACGCCGGGAGACCGTAGAACAGAAGACGAATGGGTGTTACAAAACATAACAGCTTTGTACGCCGCAATCTACTTCTACGTCACTATGCGTGTCAAAGCTGTTGTGTCGGGAGAAGGCATTGATCGGGAGGGATATGTTCCTCTCCGTAAAGAGATCCTTGCTTTGCTTTCCAGAGCAAGACAGGAAGTCACCGTTCGGAACTTGTCAGAGGGGGATGCTTGGGAAGGTTGGGCAAATATCAAGTCAAAGGACTTTGATGACGCAGTTGCCAAAGTCACTCAACAGCAATGGCTCACAAGTGATTGGTACCAAGGGATCGCTGATGTTGTCAGACTTACTCAAAAGGGCCACCTTGAGGACGTTGCGATGCACGACGAAGAGACGATGCCAAAAGTGCAAGTCAAAAAGGCAGACACCATGTTTCAGGACAAGTACGATTTTCTCAGCGATTCCAAACGAGCAGAGTACATGCACTGGGAGAAGGATATATACGCCAAAATTGCTCTATCGACGACGGGCGCTGCTATGGAGGTAGATACACAATGAAGGGCCGAAAAGACCTGCTTTATACCCAAAAATATGTGGGAATACGAACGTGCCGTGTTTTTCTTTTACATTTCTTCAACATAGGAGATCCATCATCGCTGTCTAGTTGTACATGAAGCTCTTAGGAAGAGCGACGAACGCGCCTCTCGAAGCCGCTGTTCTTGCTCTGGCTGCCGAAGCCCTTGCCAGGGCCAGCAACGAAAGTGGGAATGTCGGGACCACTCTGGCTGGCCTGTCCAGGTAGGAGACCACCGAGGCCACCACCGGGAGCCTGAGGAGCATCGTTGCCGCCGCCGAAACCGTTACCAGGAGTCTGGGGAGCGTTGGAGTCGCCGTTGCCATTGCCGCCACCGAAGCCGTTACCGGGGGCAGCAACGAAAGTAGGAATAGCACCGCCGGGCTGAGTTCCTCTACCGGGGGTTTGGGGAGCGTCGTTGGAGTCGTCGTTACCATTGCCGCCACCAGGAGTCTGAGGATCGTTGTTGTCGTTGTCGTTGCCGCCATCGTTACCACCGCCGAAGCCATTGCCAGGACCGGCAACAAAAGTAGGGATAGCACCACTGGGCGCGGCCAAGTCACCAGTAGGCTGAGTTCCGCTGCCGCTGCCAGGCGTTTGGGTAGGGGCCTCAGGGGCTTCAGAGGAGTTGTCGTTGCCGTTACCTGCGCCGGATCCAGGTGTTTGAATGGGGGTCTCTGGGACGCTAGAAGAGCTATCGGTACCGTTACCTGCGCCGGATCCAGGTGTGGTAGGGGCGTTGCCACCCTCTCCAAAGCCATTACCGGGTCCAGCAACAAAGGTGGGAATAGGACCACTGGGCGCGGCCAAGTCACCAGTAGGCTGTGTTCCGCTGCCGCTACCGGGTGTTTGAATGGGAGTCTCGGGGGCGTCGGAAGAGTTGTTGTCGCCGTTGCCTGCGCCTGTTCCAGGTGTGGGAGTGTTGTTGTTGTTATCGTTGTCGTTGCTTGCGCCGCTTCCGGGTGTAGGAGTATCGCCATTTCCGAAGCCTTGGCCGGGGCCAGCAACAAAAGTAGGAATAACAGCACCAGGGGCAGTGCCAGGGCCGTCAAGACCACTGCCAGGAGAAGGAACGAGAGTAGGAGCATCGCTTCCCCCGTTGCCAAAGTCGGGAAGACCACCAGAGTTGTTGTTGCCAGCACCATCGGTCGCCGCAGGAGCATCAGAATTGCTACTCTCTCCAAAACCCTGTCCAGGTCCGGCAACGAAAGTAGGAATACCGCCGCCAGCGTTGTTGTTTCGGCCTGGGGTCAGAAGAGGAGATTCATTGCCTCTAGCAGCGCCGCTGCTTGGGGTACTGGCAGGAGGAGCAACGGCAGTGTTTTCGCCGGCTCCAGGCAAGGCGCCAGCTGGGGCGTCAGTCGGGGCAGCACCGGGAGCGTTACCGTTTGCACCACCTCCCAAAAGCTCAGGCAGCATGCTGAGGAGTTTGCCGATCGTATCCATTAGAGCGTCATTACCAGCACCAGGGGCAGCAGTCGGGGCAGCACTAGGAATAAGACCGCCCAGACCACCGCCGGGAGCCTCAGTAGCGGAAGGGGGACCAGCGATGGCAGTAGGGATGAGACCGCCCAAACCAGCACCAGGGGTTTCTGTGCTAGGTCCGTTGTCGAGCTGAGGACGGGGCATAGCCATGGCCGGCGAAGAAAGGGCCAAAGCCACTGTGACAAGAGATAGGACAGTCATTTTGATACTAGACTATATATAACAGGAAAGGAAAATGAAAAGTATAGACTAGAGAATGACGATAGAAAAGAAAAGACTGACCACAGATGCCTGCAACTGGTAGTCTTTGAGAGTTGAAAGAAAAGAAAAAGAGCAAAAGAAAAATTGGCGATGGAGAGACTCAAGGGGAAGAAGTCTGATAAAACTTCAGAGGCGAGGCGGGGATTTATATCATAAAGAGCGAGTATGTCCGTTCCTCAAACTAAAACATGGGATGGACGTTGCCTGTCATCTCCCATCCCCCATAACCATGACCATGACCATGGCCCCATCAGTCTAGCGAGCATCGGTCACTCAACTCAAGCTTCGTCGACGTTACATGTAGGCGCCAGTAAATCCCACCTCTAATGGGCATGCTGAGGGTTTCACATTGCAAAGTCTCCGACAATCGTGGACAGGGAATTGATTAACACTGCTACTGTATGACTACATATGTCAATATCACCATGAAGACGACCCCTGGCGATCATTACGAGGCTTTAAGCGAGAGATCTAGCTGGACTAGTTGACTAGTGAGTGGATTGATTGATGCGTAAAAGAGCCAATGCAATGCACGTAATTGATCTTATTGGAGTTTCGAGTCTTGGGTCTTTGACCACTCAGAGTGAGAATATTTAATGAGAACATCCATACTATAATAGCGATAGACTATATGGTAGGTATACTGTAATGACTTAAGGACAACTATGTTTTGTTTTCGAGATGACGCGGCTTCACGATCATCAAGACTCCTTTTGGCAATGTTTCCTTAGTATTACATGGTTATGGAGCTTTTGCTCTGGGGTCAACACCTTGGTCTCCGTCGTTGGGCGTTTCAGAAGATTTTTAAGGGGTTGAGGGTTTCTTCGAGTCAGACTTGGTTTTGGTTGACGTTTCGAGCTACGAGCCTCTAGTTGAGACTCTGGGTCTCCACTGTTTTATTCCTCCTTCTATACGGGTTAGGTGCCTTGCATTGGACTAGATATATCAACGTCTCACAATATATTCTAGACTGATCTTCAACTGCCGTTCTTGGTATTCAGATGGTGTGATGATGGCAAGTTCCGTTACAGTAAAAACGATTTTCTCCTGGATTATCCATTTGAATGAGTAAGTCTATGGACAGAACCGCACATTTGGCACGGTAGTTCTGATCGGCAGCTATGATCGATTCATGATCAATGGTATTGATCGTCTCATCTTACAGCATTGATACAGTACTGCTGACTACACACCACAACTTTGACTCTGTAAACCACACAGACACAGACTCCAACATTTCTCTTTCTTCATCCGTGAAAAGCAATGCCACAAAGGGTTTGTAACCAAACACGCAGAGTAAGAGCTACAAAGACGACACCTAGAAACGGAGATGCGATTGGAGATGCACAATTCAAAACGTGCGATGGTAAGATCATAACAGAATCTTGTTTCGTCATATCAGATCGTGAATTTCTCTTGGCTGTCGTTCGTCAATGCGATTGGCGGGGAGGGCCATGTTTCCGAGTTTCTGCTGGGAGTTTGGTTTCTGGTTTTTGATACTCTGTGAGTTCCGGGATGGAAATATCGGGGCTAACATCTTGAAACGAAAAAGCTGAGCCGTTCGGAAGAGCACGGATAAGCTGACGATTGAAGCTGAGACTTGGTCCTCTTCCTGGTCTGGGCTTTGTGGGTTTGCTTTAATAAAGAAATTGAAATTGAAAGAGTTGATTAACTTCGCAATATCGCTAATAACATTGTGAGGTAGGTATATGACACGATATATCATAACGGTTCCGCGCTATAGCCGTTTCCATAATATAGCCTAGTATGGTATCGTAATCGCAAGAACTAACCGAGCTTTCCTGGAACGAAGGGGTGGCCAGCGCTTAGTCCTCCATCGACAGCCCAAGCCTGTCCATTGACATAACTTGCCTCATCGCTACCCAAGAACAAAGCAACGCGAGCGATCTCATCAGCACGGCCACCTCTCTTCATAGGGTTCAGCTGACCGATCTTCTTCTCACTGCCCCGGGCCCTCGCAGCCTCATACACGGGTGCAGTCATGCCCGTCTCGATGAGACCGGGGCAGATAGCGTTGACACGCACGCCAGTACCGGCAAGCTGATACGATATCGTCTGTGCGAGCGACACAACCGCAGCCTTGGAGGCCGAGTAGGGCGTGGAACCGGCATTGGAGCGAATACCGGCTACAGAGGCAGTGCCGATAATGCTGCCGCTTGAATGAGGCTTGTCTGCAGAGGTCTTCATCATAGCTGGTGCTGCGTATTTTGCTGCTAGGAAGACGCTGGAAGATTGTTATTTAGATGATACAGACCGGGTGGAGTGAAGAGGCTGTGCATACCTTGAAGTGTTGGTGTTCAATATCGACATGAACTCGTCTTTGCTGAAATCGGAGAATAATGTAGTCCGTCCAACAATACCTGCGTTGGCAAAGAAGACATCCAATCGGCCATAGCGCTGGATGGCATCATCGACTACTTCCTTGACCTTGACCTCATCCGCAGCGTCAAACTGTCTCGTGTGAATCTCTACCTTTGGAAACGCGGCATTGATCTCTTTCTTGTGAGATTCAAGATGAGTATCGTCGAAGTCACAGAGATACAGTGCTCTTGCGCCGCTCTCGGCGTACTGATGCGCTGTAGCACGGCCAATACCCAGTGATGAGTTTGTACCTAGAGAGGTGTCAGATAGAGGTAAATTAAAAGCTTGAGAGTGAATTGCCTGTTATGATGACGACTTTGCCCTCGACGCGAAGCTTGCTTGATCCTGGAGCTACTTTGTTAATTGGTGGAAGAAGCTGATTGCCAATGGCGTTGATACGATCTTTTGCCTTGTCAGACATGGTGTTAATATCTAATGTATACGATACGAGAGATGAGATGAGATGAGATGATGTGAGATGTCAATTATGAAGTTGTCTCTTTTATTTCAATGCCGAGGCCTATCCTGTTGTACAACTAAAGCTAGACCAAGGTAGGGAGTTTATCTGGGGAAGTCTCCTTGTTGCTAAGGACCATCCCCCGGTTAAAGTGGAGCCATGAGGGGAGTCCACCGGAGCCGAGGCACAGGGAAGGAAAGATACAGGACAGTACAATAGCTTCCGAGTGATAGGGTCACGTGGCTACCCGGTACTTCAACTTTTAAAGTCAGTATGTAATATTAACACCGACTACGTAAATCTTTTGCATTAGGGCTATGGACACCTTTGAATTTGAACCTAATCAATATAGAAGTAATACATAGGTCATACGTTATTATTGGGTACTACTCCTCATGTGGACGTGATAACATCATCAAGGGTTGTAAATGAAACACGAATATTTCCAACGTAATATGGGAAGAATTGCAAATTGATACACGAAAACACCAATACACGTACGACGCCCAACCACGCTCTACTCTACCTCAACAATATCATAAATTGGAATCATCTCCAACAGTGTCGCATCCAGCATGTCCTTCTGCTCCTGTCTAAACTCCCTGACAGCTTCAGGATCAAACTTGATACCAGAAGCTTGCTTCATACGAAGTTGTCTTGCATGCTCACGAGACCTGACCTGGAGAGCATCAGCTCGGTATGTACAATAATCATACCAAAGTTCAGACTGGTTGCTAATAAGTCGAGAACCAGTCAGAACAAGCTCATCCCTCACAGAAGGAGATTTCGGTCGGAAAGCTGTAATGAAAGAAATTCTTTCTTTTCCAATAGCTTTTAGAGCGGCATGCTTGATGTAGCGGCCCTGCAGAACGACCGCGGTTCCCTCACTCAAGTTAGTCAGTGATTTGCCAAGTAGTGAAAGAGCTCACCATTGTAGGACCGCGGACTTTCAGGATTTCGCCATCGCTCTTGAGGATGACTGTCTCGCCACCTTTCATATCTGAGCAGTCAGACAGCATGGTGACACAAACAAACGGAAAACTATCGTAGTGCCAAGAGAACCCAAGGTTGGTTTTGTCGTCTTTATCATCTTCGCCATCGCTGAAGAATAGATTCAGATGCCCGATCTCGTACTCAAATGCGTGAATCAAGTCAATACCAGCAACTGCAGAAACAGCATTCTGAACCTCAGGGCTCTTCCAAAGTGCATGGGCAAAGGGGGCCTGCCTGTTATCGTGTTAGTATGATTACTGTTGTCGATTCGTGGGACTTACTTCTGCGTATACCCCCGAATCTGATTCCTAGTAAAAGTTGAAGTATACTGACATGTCTTTAGAACATCATCACTAAGAAGCTCACGTCGAACTTGTTTTGCAGCAGCCTCGGTGAACAAAGGAAAGGGGTCTGAGCCGGCAATGGGCGATATGCCCTGGTTCTCATATCCCCAATCTTGCATGGTGTAGGTCCTCTTGGGGAACTCAAAGTTGACATGCTTCTTAGCGTCAAACTCCTCAGCGGGTATTGCCTGGACAGCTTCAATGACATGACGAGGTATCTTGTTGGTTGCGCGAAGGGGAGTTGTATTAGTTGGACCGACCGCCAGAGGAGCTGGTTTGCCGGTAGGGATGTTGTTGATCACGGAGGCCATTTTGACACTAGCTGATGAAGGGTCTCAGAAGTACTAAAGAAGTCTTGTGAGAATGAATATGAGAACTAGACTGGTGCTGGGAACTACAGACAAAAGAATGTAGGCAACTACTGGGCATTTTATACCTATCGTGATCCTACCAGCTGAGCTACACCACAAATCATGTTCCAGCAGACGAATGTATTCCCTATTCCCAAAGTGTTACATATTCGACCTGTCGTGCATAGAACGTGTAGTTCATGGTCCGAAGGTGTACACTGAGGCTCACCATCCTTCATCAACTGATCATCCTGAGCGCAAGTAAAATTCCGATGAAGAAGCAAAGACCTGTTAGACACGGTGGGAAACCATGCCCAAAAAAGGCCATTGTCTTGAGTTAAGTAGGCCGACCGCGAAATCATATCCGGCTGATGCTAACACGAAGTGGTGTACGGGCCAGCTTTAGTGTCCGCCGAATATTGACTTTTGTATTTCCTGCAAGGATCGAGCTGAAGATGAAGAAACCATAGCATTATTGATCTTTACCGGACCATGGATTCCTGTGATGCGAAAGGATGGCGCTTTGTCGAGTAGTAGGTATGGAATTCATATCTATCTCCAAGAGGGAAAACATTCCCGATCCAGACCAGGACTAGGGGGTGACCATACACCGGTGTGTCAAAGCTGTGATCTGAAGTCGAAACGCTATAGTGGTCATTGAGATGTCCCTCGAATTACAAGTCAGTCGCGCAGTTTTCTGGTAATCAATTCGTAATTGTATAAAGGAATCTTATGCGGGATCGAGACCTCTTGGATCTTATGCAAGTCTTGCAGAAGGCTTTCCTGGACGGGAATATGTGACCGACATAGTCTCGTGATGATAAATCAAAGGTTGTCTAAAAAGCTGAAGCCGTCATTGGGGGCTTCGAACCTTTATACAATAACTCTTAGCCCCGAAAATGGACATATCGGCTTCCATACCGATCGGCTTCGGAGCCGAAAGGGCTGCGTGGCGGTTTAAACTTTGCGATAGATATATGAGGTTGTCTCATGGAGTTGATAGTACTATGTGATATCTCGGGTGCCATTGCCGACAACATCACATGTAAGCGGATGTAATGTTGTTGAGCGAATCAAGTTCGTCTAAGCTTTCCAAAGTAAGAAGAGAACAACAGGCTGTGCCAACAGTCAAGGACATTGTCGATCGTAAACTTTATAATCATTGCTCATCTATAGGCTTAACTTTTAAACGGAAAAACAGAAATATTCAAAGGTTCACTGCTATGATTCAGCAGCAGCCTCGGTCTTCTCCTCGCCGTCCTTCTTCTCCTCGTCCTCTCCGTAATTCTCCAACTTCATATCCTTAAGGCCAAGCTCCTCCTCTTCCTCATCTGTACGGGTATAGCTCTCACGCTGAATCTTGGGGTCAGGAGCAGGAGGGTCAACAAGAGGCTGAACATAACTGCTCGCGAAAGGATCGGTGAGGATGACTGTGAAAGGCTTGTCGCCTCGGATAGCGGCATCAAGACCCTCAAAGAATACATCCCATTGGCTCTTCTCATCAGTGGCAAGAGAGTCACCACCTTGGCCAGGGCCGTTGGCCTCGAAGATCTGAGAGTGAAGATCACCACGGACCTGGGTCAAAAGGCCTTCAACAGTGGTGAAGCGACCACCGAGAGTACCGGGGTTGACCTGAAGTTTGAGCTCAGGGCACTCCAAACCACAAGTCTCGCTCTTGAGAATATCACGGGCCAAGTCGGTGCTGTCCTCGACTTTGAGGGTGATCTTCTCACCCAGCTCAGGAATCTCACCACCAGTCTTGACATCATTGGAGCGGTAGCCACAGTCGTCACAGACAGTAGACATGAGGACAACCTGCTTAAAGTGAGGAATATCGACCATCTTCATGTGAGTGGTGCAGGGACGCATGCAGCCAGGACATGTAGCAGGGAAGCTGTAGACCTCATTGGGTATGATCTCTCCCTCAGCAGTCAAACCAGGGTTCTGCGCTTGCTGAGCGTTGGCGTCGGTGTCAGAGATGCCAAGAGCAGCGTTTTGCTCAGCAGTCCGGGCATACTCGTGCTTCTCCCACTTGCCAACACCGTCCTTGAGATCAGGAGCGATGAATGAGTTTCCAGCAGGGTCGTCAACCCAGACACGGAAGGGGAATGAATCACCCATCAACATGGCGCGACCCTTGGCGATGATCTCGGCAATCTTGACATAGACCTCAGGAGCCTGCTCCTTTCGTGCCTCCTGTCCCATCTCAAGATCATCAATGACAGTGGTCAAAAGACCCTCAACATTTGTCAACTGGCCGCGACCAGCAGGAATCTCAAGGTCAAGCTCAATAAACTTGACGGTAGAGGTATCGGACTTGACAACCTGTCGCGAAAAGTCGGCGAGGTTTGTCAGGCGCAGCTCGTAGTGGGTTCCCTTGGGTTGAACGGTTCCGGCCGCCTGGATCTCGTTGTTCTGAACATTGCAGTGCTCGCAGGAGAAGGACATGATAACGACTTCGCGAAAGTAGGGGATCGCAGTAAGAAGAAGTCGGGTGACACCCTTGTAGTTTATGTTAGATGTTTTGGTATGCGCTTTTTGAGGCAATAATTAAACTCACGTTCTCGCCGCAGTTCATGCAAAGAGACTCGATCTCTTCAACAGCGCGCTCATCGTCGGCATTCTGGGCTTCAGCAGCAGCAGGCGCAAGGTTCTTGACCTTGTCGCCGATGCTCTGGAAGAACTCCTCGGGAGTTTGCTTGTTGACGTCTTCGGTAGCCATTTTTACGTCTGCTGTGATTGAATCGTGAAAATGGTCGTTTTTGGTGGTGGTTGAGTCCGAGTCCAAGTCCGATCTAATGGAGGGGTCATGAAATTTTTGGAGGGGCAACTGAACTAAGCCCGGTTATGTCATGGGGTCCAGAGTGCAGAATTTGGTGGGCGGCAGGCGCTAGAATGTTCGGGACGCAACCTGCATAGGAAAAAAGTGACTCGATGGCGGCCTGAGATGACTCAGTTTCAGTCTCTTTCCAAGACTATGAGTTGGGGCCGCGATTTCATCTAACCAATTAGACTCAAGTTACTCAAACTTCGATATTGAAGATAGGCAGAGATGGCTATAAGTTCCAGTTGCAACAAATCTGCCTCATTTCATGAAATGAGAGAGACTGAGAGGATTGGCGGCTTGCTGCTTTTGTCCTGAAAGCAAAGCTTGAAGACCAGCCTTTCGATTCTTGGCACGCTTCTTGCTGCTAGCATTTGTACTTGGCTTTGCTGGTTCAACTGGCGCAGGCGCAGAGGTTTTGTTGACTTTGGTCTGAGCTGTCTTGCGTCTCACAGCAGGTCCCGGCGCCGGAAGAGAGATCTTTGTATCTCGTTGACAGTTGTCGCAGTGAAGAATCTTGCATGGTCCTTTGGGCTCCTGGTTGGTTCTGGGAGTTGAATAGGTGCCAGACTTTGCACCCTTTGTTTTCCTTTGCATACTTTTTCGAGCGTCCAATTTCAGCGTGGCTCCTTGGCCTGGTATCATTATAAGCCCACAGCCTCCGCACACATGTTGTCGTTGAATATCAGACACTGATACTCCATGCTGTGAAAGAAGGTCACCGCGTTGGCTCATGAGATAGGCTGAAGTTTCGGGCGCTGTGGTGCGCAGGAGGTGTGCTGCATCGGTGAGAAAGTCGGCTGTTCCTGGAAGCTCCGGTAATGCCATCTTGGTAGAGCTGAAAGAAGAATGATGTCTCTTGATTTCTGGTAGTTGACTTTGAAGTTGGGTCTCAGAAATGCGATGCTCGAGCTTGAGGTTAGAACCTTGACGGACAGCAAAGTAAACAGTGGGTCTGATTAGATATAGGCTGACGCACGATTGGCCAGTCGAACTCTCAACTGGCAAGCTTCCAATTTACAAGCCTCACGTAGCAACTTGCATCTTTCATATATGAATACCAGTTTGCACGCGGACTTTCATTGATAAAGGTTTTTACTTTTATTCCTGTGTCCTGTTTCTAGTCATGATGTCAAGGTCTCTTTTCTGCTTCCTCACCAAAAAAAACATCCGGACGCCATTGAAACATCGAGCTTTGGAGAACTCTACGAACGACGGACTTCCCACTTGACCTCGTTGATGCTCACTTCCTCGTTGGACTTCTCGTCATACTCAAACCATTCGCCCTCTTCCAGCTCGATGCCGGTAAACTTGGTATTGGTCTCGATACCCTCGGCGAGCCACTCGCCCTACCACCATGTCAGCACTCGTCACTGTATTATGAGCGGTTCCCGTACCTCTGCCTTGAATTCAACGAACTCGAGACCTCGGCAGTCGAATTCAATAATCTTCTGAGCCTTGGCTGGCTCTGCCTGCTCGTAAGCTGCAGGTCCGGACTTGACAGATGCCGACGACTCTCGCTTGACATGATATTAGCAAAGTGCAGCTGATGCTATCCGGAGACTCTTACCTTGCAGTTCTTGCACTTCCAAACGAAGTTGGCCTCTCCTCGGCTTCCGCTCATCTCGTTGGTCTCCTAAGCAAGACTATCAGCCTATGCCCAATCACACAGATTCAGTAATGCGTACAAAACGGTTGACTCCGACATAGTTTGGGTGTGTCTCTCGGCAAGAGGTACACTGAACCTTGAACATGTACCAGAAAGGGTTGTCTTCAGTATCAACAGGGCGCAGGTTGGTGACCCTGTTATATTGAGATTGCCCCTCACGTCAGTGAAGCTCTAGACAGCAAAAACTTGTTTAGGACATACCCTTGCAAGTCAGCTGTCAGATATAAAGCAAACATGGTGACTGATTGTATGAGGGACGAAAGAAGGTAGGTTTCTGTAGGAAGATAAGGACCAAATATCCGTCAACTGTTGTAAACTTGAATGCAGTCTACAGTTGGCTCAGAGCTACCTACAATTGAAGAGCTTCTGGTCGTGGATGGTGGGGTGTGAGAATAGCGCCTAACCACGGTCAACCAGCGTAATGCCCACGTGACTTCAATAATCGGACCATCTGTGACTGGCCAATTTCATAGTTTCAATGGCTCCATGAAACACCTCAATTGAGTGATTGCCGTCAACGTCAGCTCCCAATCGCCCTAGAGCTATGTCCTGAACATCTGGCTATCACTTAAAATGCAGGCTTTGTGGTCGAGAGCCGGCCAGGCTCATCGCTGCGGTTGCCGCGCTTGCGAGACAGTCGTGAGCACTCTCGGCCGCCGAGTAACGACCGCGGCTCGACCACGCAAAGTCACATTCGCCGATATCTTCACAGCATGCTACAGTTCCATGTTTGCGACTGCCGCCATTGTCGATGCCGTACGAAAGGAAGACCGACGACAGGAACTAGACCGACAATTGGAGGAGACAAGGCGGGAACTGGCACAATTAAAACTCCGAAACCTCGAAGCGAGTCAGAGGACGACCGACAACAATTTAGCTCAAGATGACATCTCCCTTGGCCAAATGAATCACTTATGGGAGTCTATCAAAGAGATATACACGAACCGACCGTTCATGAAGGAGATCGATAAGCCTGCCACCATCCGCATCGACGAGTTCCTGAACCGAGTCCATATTGAACAATATGAATGTCCTAATCAGGAAACGATGGATGCTTACCGACGTACGGACTATGACCGTCTCGAGCACGCCATCCTTCGCGAGGAAACAGACGACAGTATCCCTCACAGGAGGCCAATGAACTCGAAGCAGCTTCATAATGCTGGACGCACGCTCAATCACCTTATCCAGCAATTACTCAAACGAGCCAATGCTCACGACAAATCTGGCTCACCGTGTCCCAGCTTTGACGAGGCTGTCGAACTTGCAAACAAGAGCCCTTCTGACAAGTATCTTGTGGAGTCAAACATCGAGACGATGAAAAAGAACCGCGTCAAACTGAACCACGGTCTCCGTGAGGTTGTTGGCTCACCAACATTGAGTCTCAAGGAGAAAGTCGGCAGAGTGTGTTACAACCTGCTTGTCTCTGCCTACCCGGCTGATATGCACACATACAACACATTAATAGTGGTTTTCGACAAGCAGGGTTACAAATATTTATCAGAATCAGTAGTCAATTCTTTCTACTATTACAGAAGATTGAGGCCGACGCCATCGACGTTTGTGGCTATCTTGAACCATTACAAAAACTCGGGCAATCACGGTCAATTCTTGCGTAGCCTGGCATGCGTTGCTGGACTCGACGGCGAGACAGGGGCCAAGTTAAGACGCAGGTTAGCAGACAGTTACGAACCGTCGAGAGCCGGTCGCAACAAGGTTCAGACATGGACACAAACGGGTGACTATTTCTGGGAGCATGCGCCGCTTGATAAGCCCCTCGTCGAGGCTACCATTCAAGGTCTTCTTCACTTCAAGCTTTTCGACCAAGCTGCCTCGTTCTTTGTATCGTGCATGAGGGCTAGAGTTACCCTCAGTACACAGGTCATCAAGCAGTTGTTCGATGAGTGCATTGTCGCTCTCGATTGGAGGTCTGCAGTGCGTCTGATACAAGGATTTGCAGAATGCATCAAGACATGGCCATCCATGTTACTCGGCAGGGATCAAGATACAGCCTATCTTATTAGCCGGGTGCATGTTCTGCTCGATATTGCCGGCTTGCGAGGTTCAGGTGGTGAAGTGTCTGTGTCAGCTCTTGACAATCTGTCAATATCCAATCCTGGATTCCGACGATTCCTCAGCGACCTAGCAGCAGCAGCAAGCTCAACATCCCAGCTGGAGACACAAGATTCAACAACCAGCCTTACCAGTTCTTCAGGAAGGAGGTTACTTCAGATTGAGGCTCTATGGAAGGAACAAGATTTGGTTGCAAAGACAACGCGCTCTATCGAAAGCAAACTACTATATCCCGACTTTTCTCAGGATTTCCGCGAGTCAATGGCATCTCATATTGGAAACACTGCAGTGAACAATGTGGTAGAGCTGAATGGGGAGATCATGGACTTTTTCTCACGACTGCCACGCTCGGCGCAGGCTGAGCAAGCTATTACAGAGTGCAAGATCTTCGAAGACACCTCTCAACTTCGTTTTGGCAGTACCATTGTTGAAGGTGGTGATAGCGTTGTTGGAAAGATGCAAACGTCGAGACGGACAATGACAAACGAGCAAGTTGGAGAGACTTCGGTGTTATTACAAGAGGATGGGCCAGACATGCTCTCAAAACGAAAGACGATAGCGGTTAAGCGGGTAAATGCAGCGGAGCGTAAGCTGCGGGCGACACCAACGAGGTTGACTGCATGGCCAGTGACAGATCAGCATGCAGGATATTTGGAGAGGGCAAGTTTCGGCTAGCTCTGGAAAGCAATGAGCCGCATGTAAATATAGATGTTTCACTTGCATACATCCTTTTACGTTGATTTTTACTACTTGTACTGTACCTATATATATATATACCTAGGATAGGATAGATTCTAGCATTTGCATGCAGCACAAGAGACATGAACAGATTTTGTACACGTAGCTTAAGAACAATTTCTTAAGCTTTGAGCATAATTCTTATACACGTTATCATAAGCATTTCATCCCTCCATCATGTCAAGGTAACTAACTGTACTGTACCTCGGCCTGCACTGGCAAGTTTGACAAGGCGCGTGCAGCTAAAAAGGGCCGCCAGCGCCGCCACTAAGCGTTTCCGTCCGTCATCGTGGGTAATCCCCTGGTCATGAATAGATTGCTGGTGTTGATTGCACAGTATGTTAACACTCTTGACGATGGCATCCAACATGGCGGTCAAAAGTCGTTCGTATAGTAAGCCCGCCATTCAGCTTGCACTGTATCCAAACACAGCGCCATGTTCTGACAGGTTCCAGGGTCACGATGCGACTTCTCGAATGGGTGCGACCTGAATCGTACGGGCCAGTCACGAGGTCGCACACGGTCCACGGGGCCAATTGGATTGGCAGGCTCGACTCCAGTAAGACTAAGGGTCCTTCTTTCCAAGAAAACGGTAAGGTACAGTACAGTATCGAGTAGTCTAGTCTATGTACCTGAGGGATTGGAAGGAACAGCCCGGTACTTTGAACTACCCCAAAACACAAGCATGTGCGCAGGTACTGTACATCCCTGTAGAGGAATTCTCTCCACAGGACTGGACCTCATTGATCACATCAAGTTCGTCTCAGTGGAGGGCTCCATCCATCACCCATTGAATCCAACGAATGTTGTTTCAACAAGGAAAGGACCTTGTTCTTTTTTTGTTTGCTGGGCTTGTTTAGCAAAATCGGTTTCCGAGCGGGAGCCCATTGCCATTACATACATATCTCCAGCAGCGGCGTCACTACTTCTCTCTTTCTTCTCTCCTCCAACACCATCTTTGTTGTGACCGACTTTGTGAGAGTCAGATTCTCTTGTCTTGTCTTGTTGACTTGTGAATTCATGAGCTATACTTCACCCGCTCTATCGCCGCTTGGTCAAGATAACGGATACTCTTAAGTTGTTTGCGCAAACTTGATTTGACGTCACTAGATCGCGATCGACCATTGTGTCGTGTCGCGTTACACTGCATCCTGCGAAACATTATTGAAAACTCTCTTTTTTTTGCAGTTGATCAGGTTGCGATTGTACGCCGAAGTCAATTTTGTTCAACAACTATAAATTGTCCGGGTGGTATAAACGCGGTGTGCTTCTCCAATCTATCTTTACCGCGCTACGGTCATACCGTCCACCGATACTTCTTCCATCTTTGTTCTCTTATCGAAAGATCTGCACAGCATGAAATTCGGAAGAAAGTGAGTTACTCAAACAACTTACATTGATCAACAGTCGACTTACTTCTGTCAGTCTACCGCGCAACCAGGTCCCCGAATGGGCGGCCTCGTACATCAACTACAAGGGCCTTAAGAAACTTGTGAAAGCAGCAGCAGAGAAAGCAAAGAATGGAGAAAAGGTGGATCCAGCAGGTGGGCGGCTTTGAACGACTCTTGGTGTCGCACACTGAGCCTCTCCCCTAACTACCGATGCAGAATTCTTTTTCGCTCTTGATCGAAACCTCGAAGATGTCGACTTTTTCTACAACAAGAAACTCGCCGAGTTCTGCCGCCGGCTGAACCTCCTCCAAAACCGATATGGACGAACCACCGACGTTGTCGCTACCCTGGACCAGGATGAAGTCGAAGAAGTTATGGGCGCTCTACTTGAGCTGAGAAGTCAATTCCGAAATTTGCAATGGTTTGGTGAGATTAACCGCAGGGGCTTTGTCAAGATCACAAAGAAACTCGATAAGAAAGTTCCGGATCTTGTCACTCAGCGTCCCTATATTACAACAAAAGTCGATGTCAAGCCTTTTGCCAAAGAAGCAAATACGGCGAGACTTCTTAATGAGATTAATAGGTGGATGTCAGTACTTTCAGAGGCTCAGACGTTTAATGATACCATGTCTGAACACTCGACCCGTTCGCTGGGTCGAGCTTCAGCCAAGGGTATGTTAAGTTTGCCTCAAGCTCAACTCGATGCGCTTGACCAGGCCGTGCGAAATGACGACGTCTCTGCTCTGGAGGAAGGTCTCAAGGAGTGCAATGCCATCGAGGAAGGTGCCCAGCCACTTCTACTGGGCCTTCTGCAGCGGTCGATCTCTGCACGCTCCAGGACATGCATCTCTTTCCTTCTTTCAAATCTCAAAACTCTTGAGGAGCCAGATGATATCAACAGTCGCAACTGTATTCATCGTCTAGTCATCCATATCGGACGCACAAAAGCTACTAGTGGGGAGCAAGACTCAAAGTCTCACCCTGTGCCTGCGGGCTCGCAGTTCAGTAACAAGCATCTTGAACCAGGCTTGACCAGCTCAAAGGCTGCCAAGTCGTTGAATCAAAACGAGTCTCTTCTCCTGAACAAGGACGATGAGGCCGTGCAGCTATTCATCTTCTTACTCGACCAACTACGCCCGGAGCAGAGGATTGCGCTCAAGAGCCGTGATTCCTTCGGGCGTATGCCACTTCACTACGCAGCTCAGTTCGGCATTGTAGTAGTGTGTCAGATAATAATGTCCAAGATGCAAGAATGGGACCAATTCCATGTCAAGGATGGCATTGACACACCTGAGTGGCAGGACAATGATGGCTTTGCGCCCCTTCACCTTAGCGTTGTGGGAGGCCATCCTCTGACCACCCAGGCACTCTTGCAGGGCGAGAACTGGGAGGGAAGTAGTAAAGGCAAGGCTGATATTCGAAAGTCTATCGCTAAATCTGGCGCCGTGCTGGCCATTGCTACAAAGTCCAACTATAGTGTTATCGTGCAGCTCCTGATAGCAGCTGGCGTTGACATCAACTGGAAGGACAAGACTGGTGAGACTGCGCTTCATGTCGCGGCTCGATTTGGGCACGTCGAGTGTGCTCAGATTATTCTGAAAGGAACACCAGAACAGAAAGCAGACCTGGAAGTCACTGAGGGTACCTACTCTTGGACCCCTCTTCACGTTGCTGCCGTGGATGGCAAATTCAGTGTGGCCGAGCTTCTAGTTGAAGCTGGAGCAGACATCACACGTCTTGACTCATCAGGATGGACTGCAAGGGAGCATGCTGCGCTGCGCGGTCATATGGATATCGCGCGACTGCTTGAAACCGATACAGAGGAAGCTGAATCTCCCCCAGTCAGACCCGTCGACACATTGCAGCCCACTCCCTCGGATATGTCATCTATTGACGAGCGTCGCTCGAATGGCAACAGTGCGAACAACGCACCACGCTCTCCTGACGCTATCAAGAGTTTTGGACATCGTTATCTAACTAACGAGAGTCTCGTCCTTGTTAGTCTTGGGTCCATGGATATGCGAAAGAACGTCGAGCCAGTCAGCTTGGACCGTGTTCCTCTTACTGAGGCTCACAACACGCAACTTGACACTGCGCTTTCCATTGTGGTGTCTGCCACCGGTGCCCATGGCGAGCCTACCACCATCGATCTTCCGGTGCATGATAGCATCTCAACTGAGCCCATCGTTTTCATGACATCAGATGCGGCGAAGGTGAAGCTTCTTTTCGACATTGTTCCGACGTACTCGGGCAACGACAAAAACAAGGTTGGACGTGCTGTTGCACTCCTTTCTTCCGTGAAGCCAACTCTGGGCTCTCGCCGTATGAACCTGCAGGGAGATGTTTGTGTTCCTATCATGTCAAGTAACTTTGATGTCATTGGCACTGTCAACTTTAACTTCTTGGTCATCACGCCTTTCCACCATCCCAATATGGAAATCACCTCTAGGCAGACATATTGGAAGAAGCTGGAATCCACCATGCTGATCGGTCACCGGGGACTAGGCAAGAATTTGACTAGCAACAAGTCTCTCCAGCTGGGAGAGAACACTCTGCCATCTTTCATTGCAGCCGCCAACCTCGGAGCCCATTACGTCGAGTTCGATGTCCAACTGACCAAAGATCATGTCCCAGTCATCTATCACGACTTCCTCGTCAGTGAAACAGGTATTGATGCCCCGGTCCATACTTTGACGTTGGAACAATTTTTACACATTAACTCGGACAAGAGCCGAGATTCAAAACAACAATCAAAGAAGAAACCTCTTCACTCTGGGGAATCTGGTGATTTCCGAGCGCGCAGTAATAGCGTGGGACCGCAACGCTCGCAATCTATGGGATATGCTGGTAGCGGACTCGACGACTTGGACGAACGCATGAAGCACACAAAAGATTTCAAAGAGCAGGGCTTCAAGGGCAACACGAGAGGAAACTTCATCCAAGCCCCCTTTGCGACTCTGGAGGACCTCTTCCGGGAACTGCCCGAGCACGTTGGCTTCAATATTGAGATGAAATATCCTATGCTACACGAGAGCGAGGAGCATGAGATGGATACGTACGCAGTTGAGCTCAACTCCTTCTGTGATACCGTGCTTTCCAAAGTCTACGATCTTGCCGGGGAACGTCACATTATTTTCAGCTCTTTCAACCCCGACATCTGTTTGTGTCTGAGCTATAAGCAGCCTTCTATTCCCATTCTCTTCCTAACGGATGCGGGCTGTTGTGATGTTTGTGATATCCGCGCTTCGTCCCTTCAGGAGGCTATTCGTTTCGCTAGTCGCTGGAACCTGCTGGGTATCGTTGCCGCTGCGGAGCCTTTCATCAACAGCCCCCGTCTGATCAAGATTGTAAAGGAGAACGGAATCGTATGCTTCAGTTACGGTTTACTAAACAACGACCCTATCATGGTTCAGGTAAGCCTCGCTAAACATAACATAAATGATTCAAATTTACTGACATATGTTACAGCGTCAGGTCAAGCAGGGCATCGACGCCGTCATTGTTGACAGCGTCCTCGCCATCCGAAAGGGACTGACAAACGGAGAGACACCTGCCGTGTTTGCCAATGGAGAGGCTGAAACAAACGGCACACTCAAAACGACCCACGAGCTCAAGGACAAGTTGGACGAATTGACAGTCAACGGTGCGGGCCCTTGAGCATAACAGGCTCGAGGTTGCAATGTGCCAGATAGAGTGAAGTGAGCAAGATCTGACCTTGGAGCCTTGTCTCACGCAATAGATTTGCTCCAACCTGTGGTAATAAGAATAGAATCAGTAGACAATGTCTATGATGAGGCCATGACACGGGGATTACCAGTACCAGGGTCATCAAGTGTATTTGACGCTCTCAATTCGTCGAGTGAGAATAGCACCATGCTGATGATCACGTTTATGTGACTTTAAGCCATCATCATACAGCATCTCCCCATGCAGTGTGGGTAGTATTTTGTGATGAAAACGGTTCAAACACCATCACCGCACCTGAGATAAGGATTCGTATAACCGATGGGCCTTCCTGTCGTACGATTCTGCAGTCCCATAAGCCATGTCTCACAAGGAGCCTATCTCTAGCCACAGGAAAAACAAGATCTACAGCTGTGCCGCATCGTTGGAAATGCTACAAGGACCAGGGCATAAGCCGAGATATGTACGGGTACTTGCCGTGTTGATCTTCAAGGTTTCTCTACTGGGGCTGTGCATGTTTCGAAGGCAAGGAGTATGGAGCGGAAACAGTCAGCTGGTGGCTCCAAGCCATTGAAGGAGGCTCATGTGTTTGTGTTAGACTCGGATGAACCAGGTCGCCGAGGGCAGTGTCCGGAAACGGAAACGGGATTCTTCTCTAGGACGGATATGTTTCAACCGTCTTCCCGACACCGTTTATGAACGAGAATTGTCGTTTATGTCTCGGCGGTATAGCCATACAAGAGACAATGTCTCAGTAAGTGGTCACTGAGCTAAGTTAGGTAGGCGTTGGCTTTGTGTTTGGCTTTGTCCCCGTCCAAAGACTAACTAAAGAGTGTGATGACGGCTGGGCATGTTGCATAGCAGGGTGAGGAGAAACATGACTTGCTCGCTTCACTTGACTCACTAACTGCATCCGCGATAGTATGTCTAACAAACCTGCCCCAGATTCAGAAGGACATCGAGATATGTCTCTTACGCTCTCTTTTTGGTGGTCTTTGGTCCATTTTTGGCAGGAAAAAAGAAGGCCCTTATTCGTGGAAGCTTTAGTCCGAGTAAAGTGAAGCTGAAGATCTCTTGAATTAAAGACACTTTCTTGCCCTAGGGTAATCCGTCAGATTGGCTACGCAACTGCCGATAGTCTGGGAGGGAAAAGAAAGTAAGGCTAACAGAAAACCGGGAAAGTTGTATCCCAGATGGCTGACAAGTCAAACTGTCAAATGCGGAAGATTGTGACATGATCGACCTCTGGTGGGGTTGGACGAACTAATTGGCAGCTGAACCAAGAACTAGAGCTCACGATGTAACTTTGGAAAGACCACTTTCTTGTACTATACCGTACTGTGTGATGTCTGTCATAACCGACAGCTCAAGTACTGTAGTGGTTTCCCACGCTGCTTGATTCAGATTTGTACCACTCGGTGGTGAGAATAACTCTCATGATTGACTTGACAGGCAAGCAGGCAAGCAAGAGCATCGGTCGCACCGATTGGTCTTCCTTCAGTGTCCCCTTTACAGTGGAGGAGTAGGTTGCGAAAGACTGCTGATCAAGGTCAATATCGTATCGTATTGCGGGTCGGGCATGAACTAGACTATTGAACAACAAGCTGTGCCTGATTGACAAGGAACCTAGGGCTGTCAAGCAATAATACCAACTTTGATATAAGCAAGGTACAGCAGGCACCGTACAATAGAAGTGGTGAGGCGGAAGACTTCTCGTACAATGGGCGAGTGGTTATACACGATAGACACCGACATCACGGCCAATACGGGGGCTAACTAACCACAAGTTGCCTAATACGCGCACCACGCGATGCAACACAAGGGGATGGTGCCTACCAACTGAGCGATCCGCGCCCAGGATGTGATGCATATTGGTAGAATTGCAACCTTCAGGGTGCTGTATGGCGGGCGTGCTGTGGAGGGCGGGAAATGACGCCTCATGGTAAGGAATTAAATCCACTGAAGCAAAAGCAGATATTTTTCGACTTTTCTTTTTTCCTTTCTTGCTCCAATTGCTTATTCTCAACGTGTCTGAAGTTCTCGTATTAGGATACCCTTGCAATGTTGGCATTATGTGGTAGTCTGTTAAGATCTGGGGGAGCAGGCTAAGCGAAATTCTATCATATATCATATTTTCATGGGGCAAGGGAGAAAGACAAAGCCGCGAAACCACAATTTAACTGCGGAATATGTAGAAGGCTGGTGCAGTTGGTTAATTGAGTCATGCCAGTAACGTGAATCGGGAGTATACAGCTAAGTGTGAGGTGTAGCCATCAATCAGCGAGCGGCAGAGGGAAACAGAATTGAGGCTCACCAAATGACCAGGGCTCTTGTTACAGTATATTCGGAAACCATGCCTATCTCATCGTGTGGAGTTTGAGGCTACCACGACATGACAAGGTTTCAAGACGCTGTCAAGACTTCCAAGACTTTTGGGCAGCGATAATTGCCAAAGTCGATATGAAGTTGTCCCGTTCCTGGCGACAGCGTTCCGCATAGGACAACCCTGATGGCAAGAGCTCTCACAGCCACGATTCAGAACTTGTTGAAAGATGACTTCACCCAAAGCACCATAAGCTTTCCTTCGTTCAAGGATTTGAGTAACAATTTCGTCAAGAAACTTGCGTTACGTGCTTCTATCCGTGTATTTGTTGGCTAATCACGTATGAAGAACCTTTCGACACTCATAGTTTGTACCGCAATATTTGCTTTGTCGCATCTTGACAGGGAGGTAAATGACGTGACTGAGAGTTTATCGTGGTACAGTACCCCCTAAGCTCCGAGGAAACGGACAGCCGGTTGAGTATTCGCTTGGACATCGGCACGTCTGTGTGAGTTTACTGTAGAATGTCAGCCTCACGTGCGAACAGCAGGACTCTACCGTTGGCACTACTGCGGTGCCGTTTCCGTTGGCAAACTCAATGATATTCCCTTCGCCCGATATCCTCCCTGAGAGTTTGCAGATCGCCAACAGTGTATAAGGCGTTTCGTGCATGATTGTAACATGTCCAAACCACCCCACGCCTTCAAGGAACCCATCTGAGTACAGACTTGGCCGTAGTGCAAGAGAAAGCCTCAGTGGGGTTCTATCAGCTGGCCTTGAACAAGAAAAAACCATTCTAGTCATCCTAATCACACAATGACTCGTTACGCCAAGAGTCAGCACGAGTTGCAAGGGTAGAGCGTAACGTTTTCCGCTCCAAATGCCAGGGGCACTCGGCCGATTGCTTCTCTCATCACATCAGAACAGAGACCCTGTTTGGAGTCGTTTTGAAGCATTCAATGGCCTGTTACAATCAATCTTTCAGTGAAGTTTATAACCCTGGTTTTGGAAGCTCCCAGTATATGCCGAGGCTCTACTTCGCAACTCCCCCAAATGCTCGCCCTTAACATAGCCTCGTGATGAATATTGAGTCCACAACAATATTTAAAGTGGCCTCGAGGGTTAGTGAATAGCAATTGATGGTTAGGTTGACAACGTGGATCCAGCAGCGGAACCGATTTACTGATCAACGCCAGCATGATATTGAGATACCGCCCTGGCCGCCGTGCCTGCCCAGGTCCCACGTCAGCGGAATGCAGCTGCCGGCGATGCCGTAGAGAGCTCTGCAAAAAGCTGAAGGCGATCCAGCGCTTTACATGTTGCAGCTATGGTACATGTCCTAGATGCCCTCTAACAGGAGCGTTGAACCTGTCACAACACCATCCGGTTGGTGACAGTTCTGACGGTTCGTTCCGTTGCTTCGAGTTGTTTCATAGTTGAACGTTCTGCAGTACTGGCGCCGGGCGCTTTGAACTTGCCACGTTTTTCGAAGTTCCTAAGCTCAACGTGGTGTAAATGGTGTATAACGGCCCCAGTCGTTAGGTTTAGTCACTTTAGTGTGTTTTCAGGTGATCCATGACTCGAGCTGCCTTGTGCCGCGAGCCGTCGCAACATCTGGGAAATTTTGCAGCGTGTAGTAACGAAACGATAGCAACTGTAGTTTTGCCTCGTTCCTCGTTCCGAGGTTGTTAATTGGGCTCAACACGAGTCTGGGACACCACGTGTGGTGTGGTGTATTAACGGTAAGACTTGAAAGAATACCCACACGGCAAATGCCGCCAACATTGGCCTTGATACACAAGTGCATCCGTCATTCAACGGCAGTTGTAGCTTGCTCTCGCGCAAGATCTGCTCCGGTTGTGCACTAGCAACGGCATATGAGAACCCGTATGAAAGGCTAACCACCAAGTCCGTCGAAAGCTAAGCGGACAATAGCACTGCTCAATATGAATGTAATTTTACCACATGATCGAACTCCCCATGCCAGAAGGACCCTGTATGCATGGCGAACTGCTTAACCAGATTGGCCAACAGTATCTCATTCAAGGCAGTCAAGTTTGAGACTGTAACGTTGTACAGTCATCACCTCCAGCATTCAGCCTGGCAGGGGCGACACCGCAGCCTGGTGGTACAAGCCGGCAGTCATAGATAAAGATTTCGACAAGGACCTGAAACCTTTGTCGATCGTAAGAAATATGTGCCCCTGTATAGGTGCAGGCTGTTTCTCTGATTGGTTCATATCCGAAAGAGACCTAGTTTGCGAGCTTGAGTTACATTGGGGAGTGTATTGAATTTCTGGGCACGAATGGATGCAAGTGGAAGATCATCCGAATCACCAGGAGGCCCTGTTGGGAAGAGCCGAAACCCAGAAAGTCGCCCCGCCTGTCAGTTCGGTTAGGACCGCTAGTTCATCCACATCCCTACCGCTACATGGGATATCCCGTCAAGCGACTGCGGTTCAGGCATCTGATAACTAAGAACATGGTTAATACGTGGTATTGCGGCGATCCAGCGCTACATGAGGGCGAGATTTGGTTCAGCCTGGTTCGAGGCCCAGATAGTACAAAATACTCATATAACATGAGTTGTCGTTAGTGGCGGTGCAGTGATTTGTGGGAGGCGCAGTTGCAATATTTGTCCTTTCAAGTTC